ATAAAAGATGTATGTACATATATACACATATATATATGGTGGGATTTATGATGTGGTTCATGTAGGTGCTGAGATTGGGCACCCACTGAGGCTCCGAACTGTCGCAAAGACTGTTGCAGGGACCAGTTGAGAAAAAAAAGTCCCTGTGCGGGACACTGCCTATTCGGCAGACTAGTTACTGTTTGAAGCATCAGATCCTCCGTGATCCTTAGTGATCCTTAGTGATCCTTAGTGATCCTTAGTCCAAGACTGTGTGCACATGAGCACTGTGATTGTATATACATATTTCCTCAGGGCATAAGTCCTGGTGAAGATAATATAAGTATTAATTTTATATATATATATATATAGCACTGCATCTCTGCATGTGTTGTCTTTTTTGTTTGTTTATATGTGTTTGTCCGTTTGGCTCTTGCAAATCTACCTATTTGCTATCTTTTTCTATATTTCTGGATCATCTAGATTTGGCTATTTATCAGTTGATCTTTCTATTGACTTGTTGATCTATCTATTGTTTTATCTATCAGTCTATTGACCTATTTGAGAACATGATTCATTAATATGTACATATATAAATACAATATATATATATATAGTATCTTTATCATCTAGTTATCATCAGTCTATATTCCTATTGTAAACTATCTGCAAGTCACCTATTTCTGTATCCAGCATCATTCCAGCATCTATAAACTTCAGTTTCTACCTGTCTGTACATATCCCTGTTATTTTTTTCTCTGTGTATGAGTCTGTCTTGTGATTGTTTGTCTGTTGCTTTTTCCAAGGACCTAGGTCCTGGTAAGTATATGTATGATCCAAGGACATAAGCCCTGGTAAGTTTACATATGATCCAAGGACATAGGTCCTGGTAAGTATACATATGATCCAAGGACATAAGTCCTGGTAAGTATACATATGTTCCAAGGACGTAGGTCCTGGTAAGTATACATATGATCGAAGGACATAGGTCCTGGTAAAAATACATATGATCCAAGGACATAGGTCCTGGTAAGTATACATATGATCCAAGGACATAGGTCCTGGTAAGTATACATATGATCCAAGGACATAGGTCCTGGTAAGTATACATATGATCCAAGGACATAGGTCCTGGTAAGTATACATATGATCCAAGGACATAGGTCCTGGTAAGTATACGTATGATCCAAGGACATAAGTCCTGGTAAGTATACATATGATCCGAGGACATAGGTCCTGGTAAGTATACATATGATCCAAGGACATAGGTCCTGGTAAGTATACATATGATCCAAGGACATGGGTCCTGGTAAGTATATGTATGATCCAAGGACATAAGTCCTGGTAAGTATACATATGATCCGAGGACATAGGTCCTGGCAAGTGTACATATGGTACAAATACATCATGGAAGGTATGCATGTACTATTATGAAGATAGTTGTGGATGTGGACAAATGCAGGTATATGCAGAAAGGCTGTGATAACCAAATTTAAAAGAAACAAGAACTTTTGGATTCCAGATGATTCCAGAACTCAACAACTTCAAATGCCAGTTAGTTATTTACTGCACAGTTGATTGCACTCTTGCTGAGCAAGTTTACTTTAAGTTTGGCACTCAAAGCTGCAGTTGGGGTCCTGTGCTGAAGCAATGATTCTGCTCACTCCCCTCTCTTTAAAAAAACTCTTGGGGAAGGAACCTATTGAAATGACTTGTTAGTCCTGAATTCCAGAACTCAAAAAATCCAAATGCAAGTGAGTGCAGAGTTAGAACGTAAATGAACTGTCAGTAGATACGTAAAACTGAGATCCAGGCTCCTCTGAGCCAGGACACCTGAGAAGGAACACTGTCTTTAAAAAAACATTGAGACTCTTTGCCACTCTCCCTGGAAATCTCTGACATTGGGAAACTCTTGAATTAGCAAACAGGTTTTGTACCAAAACTCAAGGAGCTGAAATCAAAAAAAAAAGTCAAGATTGAATGCACTCTTGTACATTTTTGGTGATTGTAGCAAGATTACATGGTGGCTATATGGGATAAATGGGGAATGCCATAATGGTGAAGTAAAACCTTGCTCTTCCCAACATAACTTATATTTAATGTTTTTATGAAAGGATAGGAAAACTTTGTCTTCATACAACACTTTCACATGAAGAAAGTCCTGGATTCCAGGACTCACCCACTTTATTAGGGCACTGAAAGCTGAGGTCCAGACTCCTGTGCACAAGTAAACGTGATCCCCTCCCCTCAAACTCTCTTGCAACATTACAGATCACATTCTGTAATTTGTTTTTTTTCAACACCAAAAACTTGATTCCAGCACTTGACAGCTTCATAGTGATCTCATGCACAGTTGAATGCACTCTTCTGGTGAATGAACAAATTGTTATTAGATTAAAAAAACAAAACTGAACAATACAAAACTGAGGACGATGCTCCTGTGCTCAAGCAATGACAATGCCCACTCCCCTTCCCTCAAAAAAAAAATGTACAGATGGAACCTCTTGAAATGACTGGATGTGTTATTCAAACAGTTACTACTCCATTCTGCAAATTAAGAACTTCAAATGCAAGTGAGTGCACGAGAGTTAAAACGTAATTGAATGCATCATTCCTTTTCCACTTTTGCACTAGATACTTAAAAGCTGAGATCCAGGCTCCTGTGAGCAAGCAAGGTGGGCAGGACACAGGAGAATGAACACTGCCTAAAAGAAAAACATAGTTTTCATTGAGACTTTTTGCCAAACCAGGATTTGTTTGACTATTGCTACAGGAAGTAGTTTACGAAAACAAAACCAGGATTTGTTTGACTATAAACCTGTTAATACACTGTATGAGGTTTCTAAGGGGGGTTTTAATGCAATTATGCATGTCCTTGACATGGCAATGGGTGAATCGTGGAATCCAGGATTTTTGCATAGCAAATCGTTTTTTAATATGAGCATAAATTGTAAGGAGGTCCTTGGGGAGGGTAAGGTATTTCCCCATCATCTTGGCATTAACCATTTACCCTGGGTATCTCGCAAAACAAATGCAAAACCCACCAAAATATTTAAGTCTGACTTACTTGCTTTTTAATTTAGCTCCTTGATTTCCAGAATCCACAATTATATATAAATATACATACATATATATATATATATATGTACACAACCTGCTTGCTAGTTCAAGAGTTTCCTAATGTCAGAGGTTTCCAGGGAAGGTCCAGGACTCCATAACTATGATGTTTGGTGGTTTCATGGTATGTTACATTTCTATTGATGTCATGTTGTGTACATATATGTGTTCATATGTGTTTCATTTTTCATGTATTAGTGTGTGATGTCATGTGGGATGTATTACCTAGTTGCCACTGAAATGTGACATCATGTTTATGACTACATACATGTTTTATAATCACATACATTAATTACATGCATGTTTATAATACATCATGTCCGCATCTCAACTGTCACTTCCTCATGAACAAACTGTCACTTCCAATGGCTGTGGATTTAAGGTGATAATATTCCCCATACTAAGGTGCAAAATATTCCCGCTCAGGCTAATCTTCCCACACTAAGGTGACTAAGGTGATTACCCTTTGGTAAGGCTAATATTAAGAGATGGAAATATGCAATGGGAATATGTTCATGGGATGTTGATAGAAGAGAAAAGTTCATTCATTGATTAACGGATGGACATGTGACTAGTATATATCAATAGATGCTTGCCTGGGCTGGGTAGTACACTTTGTAGCACTGGGAATTATATTAATATTAATATTGCCACTGTATATTCCATCTATTAACTATATTTATATTCATGGGATATTAATGGAATATACACGTTAATCAATACTGGAAATATGAATGGAATATTTATGGAATATTAATGGGTAACTGCAGGGATATTAAATGACATTGATAGATGGAAATTAACTCTGATTTAGTTTAACATAGCTATGGAAGCCGTGGATCACTTTGTTCCATGATTTACCTCTGAAACATGATGATTTTCCATAACTATGTTAGTCATGTCTCTATACAACATTTGATGTGTGTTTTTGAAGTATGATGGCCATTTAAAGTATAGTGATGATGATGATGATGATGCTGATGATGCTGATGATGGTGGTGGTGATGATGATGATGTTGCTAGTGATGATGATGATGATGATGATGAGGATGAGGAGGAGGAGGATGACAATGACGATGATGACGATGATGATGAGGATGAGGATTGTCATGATGATGGTGATGGTGGTGGTGATGATGATGATGATCATGATTATGTCTACGGTTATTACTTTTTATGTTTGTGTTTAGTGAGTATGTGTTTTTAATGATCAATCTTCTTATTGTTATGATGTTGTTTTGTTCTTAGTAATGGCATCGGATAAGTTTGTGCAGACCGACTGTTGCTATGAATTGGTTTTGTGCGGATTTACATAGCGTGATTTTCAATTGGATCAAACCCATTACAGTTCACAAGCACCAATGGGGATTTGACCTTAACCCCGCCATTTTTTGAGAGCCAATCAATAGTGTGACCCTCCAAGCGCCCATAAAAATGATAACAAATCCCAAAACAATGGAACAATGGGTATAGTACTAATTTCTAGGTACCTGGAGGGTTTATGTAGATGGACAATTCCCAGGTTCATCAAATTTCGAAGGTGACCCAGAGTTGGAAAAATATGGTATATAATGATAAACCAATGCACAAAGCTGCGCATTTCTGCGCACCGTAGCCCAAATGACACGATGACAACTTAAGATATGTTTTTTTTCCGCTCATAAAAATGGCTGTGAGCTCAGGACCAATCACACTGATTAAGCTCGACTTTTTGATTTTTCAACTCTCTGGTGGTGACCATTCTCGAAAAACAAAGGGGAGCTGGAGCCGCGAATATTCACTTTCCAAAGCACATGTTTTCACACCACAAGAGTGCAGAACTGCCAAGATATCCAAATAGAGACCTTTGTTTGGCCTCATTGTTTTGGCGTGTTATTGCTTTTGGCGCCGCTCAGTAAGATCCTATGCCAAAAACGTCTCCCTGCGGGTCTCAGGCGTACAACTTTGTGGTGACCAACCCGAAGCTCGACAAAAGGGTGATGCGCGGATGTTCTAGCCAGGCTGTAGATAATTAGATACTTAGATAATAACTGATCATATTAGATAGAAAATGAATGAACATTACAGAAATATGTAGGACCAGGGCCTTTTAACTTTGGCTTCCGGCATTCCCGAATGTTGGCCATTCGTGGTTCCAGTGGCTTGGATGAGGATCGGGCTCTTGGACTATGACACTTTTGGTCAACTTGCGACGCAGATTAGCTTCACCTTGGACCACACCAGGTGGAAATGGATTGGTGATGGTGAATGGCTAATGATTGGTGATTGATGGTGATTGAGATGGAATTGAATAGGTACATGGGGGGGTTCTTGCCACTAGGATGGCGCTCATCTTAGTGACTCGTTGCAAGATCGTCTTCAAGGGCAGTGAGGCGATTTTCTAACATCACTTGCGCCGTGCCTCAAGCAATGTTGGCACCGTAAATGGTTTTTATACCCCATAGGATCCATGTATGCCATATATATGGTAACATTTACCATCAATATACCCCAGTCATGTTAGCATATACCATACATGGATCCTATGGGTACTGGAACATGCTGGTTACGAAGATTCTCCTGTCGAAAGCAGTGACTTCTACAACCGCAACGGTTGTCGCACACTGATGATCTGATGGGCCTTCTTGGCGTTTTTCTGTCGGCTCAGCCGGTTCACCAGCCCTTCTTAGGGGCCATGAATTTCATGGGCAGTGCAGTTTTCTATAGTTTTCAGTGGGCATCCATGGATTGTGCTGCAAGGGTGACCGCAATGTATTCTATATATGATATATATATGTCAATATCATTTAAGTGCATCATGTCCCTCTCGTTTGAAGACAATCACGTTTTGTAGTGACGCCGAAAGAATTCGTCTGATTTCACTGTTTGTGTTGTACCCTGGGTCTCTCCTCACGTTCTGATCCCAACTTCATGATAACCAGCAAACCACCAGCCAACCACCAACAAACCTGCCATATACCCTAGACGCCCCAAGATATCCGAAGACACGTCAGGATGGTCTGGGAAAGAATGTGGGAATTCCTGGGACGAGCTAATGAGGCCGGTGCTGATGAGAATTGGATTGAACCTCGACCCTCCAAATCCTTGGCAAATATACTGTAGGTATTTTCGGAGATTGACCTGTATCGACTGATTTTACCCAAAACACCTAAACTACTCTGGTCTTCGATTTTTGGACTTTGATTGCCTGCTTTTGGGCTTGGCGAGAAAAATGCCCAAAAATGTTTGTAGCACCTCAAACGACTGAAACAAAAGAAACCCCGCAAAAAACACATCAAAAAGCATCAAAAATCCATCTCGCTGTTTTAGGTAGTTTTCGATCTTTTTTGGAGTTTCAACATTCCTCACGCTTTGTGTGCGTGAGCGTAGTGCTCAGATTTTCCCAGAAACATGCATGTTTGGAACAACGTGAATCATTTTTTGGGTTGTTTGACCTATCTTCCTAGAACGACCATGTTTTCCTCGGCAGCGGAGGCTCGAGGAATGTACAAATATACTGTACATAACATAATATATATCTATATATCCATAAATCTATACATTATATATTTACATATATCCAGGTTCCATGCTTGTGGATGATAGATCAATCATGGAGCTTCCAACAGTTGAAGTTGACAGACCTAATTCCGGTGATTCACCGGCTGCCGCGGCGCCGGAGGTGGCGCCGGAAGTGGCGCCGGAGGGGCTGAGGAAGAATGAATTTGCGCATGTTATGAGCTGCTTGGAGGTTGAAAAATGTGGATCACCCTTTGGGAATTGCTGGTGCTCCCCAGTTATCTAAGTAGATTTTGTAGGTGTCAGTTACGCATCTACAGTATATAAGTATAGCTATAGTAGGGTTACCGCCATCCAACCGTTTTCGACTTGTAAACCACAAGTGGGAGCATATAAAATGCAACATTAGTACTGCCAGCTGGAGTACAACAGGGCAAGTGGCCTGGACTTGGAATTGGATAGGATTAAAATTTCGGACTCTGATTTTGCAGATCATGTTACTTCATTGTTCATTGTTTGGGATACTAATAGTTTATGTATATATGTATATATGATATATGTGATATATGATATATATATATATATTGTTGATGAATGTTATATGAGACACTTTTTTAGACATGTACATCAGTGCCACGTTTCAGAACTGGTCAATGACTACCAGCTCGGAATGTTTTAAATGTTTCACGTCCATTCGTTTACACAAAATGGCCTTCAGTAAATTAACAAAGCGCTTGTATGGTTTGATGATTTACCTATAAAGATGAGTGATGTTCCATAGCCAGTTGACCAATCTCCTTGGAGCAGAAGCCAAGGCTTTGCCTGCAGCCTGCGGGACCTGACCAGCCTGCGTTCCTAGGCTAGTGATGAGTTGGTTATTTTGTTATTCAAAACCTGGGTTGGTCCGATGGTCCTGCAGATTTCCCCTCAGCCGACTCTGGTAAAGAACATTGTTCACACTTTCTTTGTGCTTCTTTCCATTAATGTAGACAGTGAACAGTTGTGTGCCTCAGTGAGCATATCAAGCCGGGATATATTCCTAAAAAGCAAAGTAAACCCAAGATGAGAATGGCCGCACAACCTATGCTGATGGGTAGACTCAGGCAGCGTTAGAAAGTTTACATGGCAACGGAATAAACAAAGACATGGTTCCAAACTGGTTTTGTATTTCCCTACCATTGAGAGGGGGGTTCCTTTGCTTGCATTTTGTTGTAACGTAATGTAACGTAATGTAACGTGGTGTAACGTAATGCAATGCAATGCAATGTAACGTAATGTACGGGAATGTGATGTGACGCACAAATACATATTGTTTGCATAGATATATGTTTGATTAAATATGCATACATACGCATATATTGTATGTGTATATCCTATGTGTATATGTATATATTATCTTGTTTATTTATTTGCTATATATATATATACATGTTTATTATTTATGTGTGTATCATCCATGTATTCCGTGGTCATATTTATATATATACATATACTAGATAAGGATGTGTGTGTATATCCATAAGTGTGTGCGTGTGTGTGCGTGACACCTTGGCCTGACAGATCACCGAGGCATTCGCCTTCAGCTGCGTTACGGATCTTTGTCAACTTCCTTTGACCAGAACCGAAAGTGGCCCAGCCCAGCCCAGACCCATCCGGACCGGGGAATTTGGGGAGCAACCATGAGAGGTTCAGGTGCAACGTAGAATCATGGGTTCTTGTTGGGTGCATGGGTGCCTCGGTACCCCTATTGATTGCTGCTTTCGGTTGTGAGGCACAGTGAGGCATCAGTTTGTTTGCCTTTCATCGGGTTTGGGATATATAACCAATGTCCAGACGTACGGATGGAATCAGCTACAAGGCATGTGCATGATACATACATCCATACCTCCATACGTACATACGTACATACCAATACATACCAATACATGCCATTGCATGCCATTAAATGCCATCGCATGCCATTGCATGCCATTGCATGCCATTGCATGCCATTGCATGACATTATATGACATTGCATGCCATTACATGCCATTACATGCCATTACATGCCAGTACATATCAGTACATACCATTACATATCATTTCAAAATTTCATAACATTACATGCCAGTACAAAACATTACATGACATACATACAGTAAATATATATATATATACACAAGGAAGCATGTTAAGCTAGCAAGCTGGTTTTAGTTCAAACATGTTCAAACCCTCTGAGATGCCCCGCACAAATATGTGCAGACACAAACAGGATACAACATTATAACATCATACAACCTAGACAATTGTAAATACCTCAAAAGTGGATGGTTTCCTCTAGAAGTTTAACGTTATGACTTATTTATACAAGTACATTGAGAGTCAAGGTACGCACACAGCAGACCCCCAAAATTCAGCGGTTGAATCCATCATGAGTAATCACTTTTTGGGGGGATTTTACCACCGTCTATCTTTTTGGTGGGTTAAAAACCCACATCTATATGTACCAACATCTATTTGTTTGGTAGGTTATTCGAATTTTTATATATATATATATAATATACGTATTATTTATTATATATTATATGTTATTATTTTTATTTTTATTATTATTATATATATATATATACACACATTACATTATATATATATATGTATGTATGTTGATTTCCTACGCCCCAGGGCCTGGTTTCCAGGTACCTGGACCCGGACTCCTGGAACGAGTTGCTGGCATCGGTTGGAGCCTCCAATGAGGAGGCGACCGGTTTGAAACTGGCCATGGAAGCTGGTCCCATGATGATGTACAGTAATATTGTGATATATTAGATATAATATATATATATATACACATAGTATCATATGTGGCTATGATGTACAGTAATATGTGTGATGTACAGTATTGTAATGATATAGTGTGTATATCATATATATATATATATTCATAGCTTGTATATATTATATGTATATATATATACATATACACGTATGTGTATGTATTTATAATCATGTAACTGACTGTTGTATAAAGAGAGGAACAATTATGTTGATGGTGATCCCAGCAATTGCATGTGTTGTAATATGTATATATATATATATATATATTGGGAACACATGCTCATGGATCCGAAAAAATGCATGTGTTTTGGTCAGTCAAGTTTTTGGAAAAAAAACGAACATGCTCACCCCCCAATCAAATTTCAGTGTTTACTCCTCCAACCTTATTTTTCTTGTATGTGTTTTCCTCGTCATGACGCCCATGACCCCTTTGATCATGAAGACTGCTGTGGGATTTTGAAGCTTCTTTGGGATGATTCCAAGCTGATCATCGCGGTATTCAAAGATAGCCTCTGGTAATTTAACATACCCTCTGGTAAACTAACATAGCTATGGAAAATCACCATTTTTCATGGGAAAACTCACTATAAAATGGCCATTTTCAATAGCTACGTTAAATTACCAGAGGGTAGCTATTGAAAATTGTCATTTATAGTGGATTTACCCATTAAACATGGTGATTTTCCATAGTTATGGGACAGTTTACCAGAGGGTAGCAATGGAAAGTCACCGCAAATTGATGCCATGAATTTCCGGTGGCGAACCGTCCTGGATGGATCACCTTTAAAAGCGAGGCCAAGAATTTCTTCAGGGTCATGATGGCCAACAGCCAGCGCAGGTCGCCCAAGGTGCTGATGGGAGTTGATCTATTTTTTGGAGATATTTTGGATATTACTGGCGCGCGATTGGCAGAAAAAAAACCTAAACAACTAAAAAATGAAAATTATGATTGTAACACCTGTAACACATAAATTATGATATTACCTGGCATTATCATTTGAAAAAAACTTCAAGTTACTCCAAAACATCAGAAACTAGTAAGGGTTGATGCGGTCAATCACCTTTTGAAAGCGCCGTATTTGTTGGGTGCCCTTTGGTTGAAAAACATGCTATACTGTAGGATGTTCAGTCTCTTTGCCCGACCACCATTAATTTTTAATTATTGCTGGAACAGTCGCACACCTGAACCTATTTGAAAATCTAGCCGAACCATCCAATCGAAAGCATTCGGTTGGTCATGTTGGCCATGTCCCACCCCATAGATAACATTAATCCATATTAATCCATTTAATCCCCCATATTTGTCAAGTAACATCACGGACAATCCCTTTTCTGGGCACATGTCCCCAAAATCATAATTGTTGGTGGTTCTACCTTTCTCCCTGATTGTTCGTTGAATCCTGATTTGTTTGTTGTTGGTTCTATCATTTAAACCGCTTCATGTTCATTGGTTAAATCGACTTAACCCCACATTTTAGTGTCTTTACCATCCCTTTTGAGGTGTATCAATGATTGTACAATAATTAGTATTTAGAAAGCAACATCATCATCATCATCATCATCATAATTTATAATTGGTAACTTAACTCCTCCCCATTCGCCAGTTGCTGATCCCAACGTTACCATCCCACATGCACCGCCAGATCAGCCGCCGCTTGTTCCTCTTGGTCCTGCGGAATGCGGAGGGCTTCGTCGCCGCGAGAGGTGCGCCGCGGAGTTCGTCATGGGGTCTACCCCCAACATGAACCAATGAACCAGTGGATTAGAGGTAGCCTATTCTGAGACAAACCCATATATTTTATTTACTATCAAAACTGAAATAGTAAGCAATAAACTATCCCCATGTAATATATATATATAAGAAAGAATCCCCAATTGAGTTTTTAAGATTAATGATGAGGTAAACCCATGTAAACCCAATATCCATTGATGATTCATTGCCAAGTGTCAAAATTGGGTCTGCCCTCCAATTGATTGGTAGTTGCGATGGTCTATTTTTGGGTTACCAGATTGAGTCGTGTATTTCGGATGTCTAACCTCATTTTCACTCAAGTTGTCGTTTCGCAGGGAAGTTACTTGATTTTCCTCTAGTTTGCAGACGCCCAATCCACGCTTTGCTTCGTGGTTTTCAGGTCTTTTAAAGAACTTGAAACTCAGCAACGAAGCAACTGCATGGCGCGCTCTCATGGAGCACGCGCGAAGGCACAGAAGGGTGTTGGGTGACTGGATGGGTTGGGCGGCCCAGATTCCAAACATTTGGATATGAGAAATGATGCGACCAACATTGCACGTGTGATCCTTATAAAAGTTGCCATTGCAGGGTTGCCGTGTCATGTCTTCATATTCATTGCCGTTGTTAGATGGAAGAATATGGAGACAATGTGGTTCACCCTTCAATGTGTGTTGCACGAGAACGTTGGGGGTTGCATCATCACAGTGAATTTGCGGAACCTGTTGTTAAACGTCGACCTGGACAACCCGTGGACAGTTTTATTTTATTCTGCAGGTACTAGTATCCATGTTTCAAGGAAAAAAGTAAAATATCGACTCGTAGGATTAAAATATTGTTTCGTTTGCTTCCTGTCAACTTCCTGTATGGTTCTTCCTTCAAGAAAACGATGGTATGCGACCACTGTATAGTTGGGTGCCATGGCACTTACTGCATCCTCCAGGACTGCTAAGCACAAAGGGATCCACCAAGACAACAGCAGATCCATCACCGCAACAGTGGCCCGGCTTCATCAACCTCCGGTGCTCGCAAATTGTTTTGGCACAACCATAATATGTAATGCATCATGGACATGACACCAATATTGATTGATACCAATCAATAATATAGTTTGATTATGTTTGATTTTTCAGTTGATAGATACCAATACATATTCCATTCATTTCCATTCCAAGCAGCAGATGAAATGTAATCTAGCCAATTTCTTGCCCGTCGATTCACCATTTTGTTGTACTAAAAAGGTAGAGCTGGCCTACTTCTGAGTTTTTACACGTAGGAATCATTGAATGAGCGAGACTAACTGGAATTATGATCAGGTTGGAGACCACATTTTACTGGTTTCCCATGGCAATGGCAGCAGGTGCATCCCCGGAAATAGCTTCATTTTGGTGAAGATCCCCAGTGGTCAAAAAGCAAAGTGATGGTTCAAAAAACATCAGTTCAATGTGTTTTCTTGTCTTGTCAGATCTGATCAGCATTGCTTACGTACAATACCTTGTTTGCAGAAAATTGCAGAAGCAGCACCTTTCTGCTTGTGTTCTTTTTTCAAGTCTTACTCCACGTCCAGGAAAAAACATAGTCTAAGCCAATCCAAAGTATATGTATGTTTAATTATGTTGGTATATATATATATATATACGTATTAAAAAGATTTAAAAAAAACATTACTCCCCATTGGATGTCCCTTCCATTCCATCCCCTTGGGTCATCTTGGGTGGTCCGGGTGTACTGGGGATAACCTTTCCGGATGCTTTGTGTATCTGTTAACCTGATAAAATGGACACGTTGGCGATGAAATCTAGGAGGAGTATTTCTTTGATAGCTGATATATGCTCATATTGATGGTGATAAAATCATATAAAATCCCGAAAAAAGAGACCATATCTCCTTGAAGGGTGAATCAAATCCCGTTTTTGATGGTCAAACCCACACTGAAACCCCACATGCTGTTGGAGATGAATGATGAATCCCCCACGGGTGTGAGTCCGTCCGACTTTTTATGCACTGGCAACCCGTTTCTTGACAAAGCCATCCCATATTGTTGGTTGAATATCCCTAGTGCGTCACCATTATGCCTTCATTTTTGATAGTTAGTGCAAGTTAGTTCCCCTATTTCATCCGATATAAACAACACAAGGATGCTGCACCTTACACCCAGTCTCACGCCGTAGATTTCCGATATGTTTTTCTCCACTGGTAGTATTCCAACATACATTCCATTAAATATCCCCTATACATCCCTGTCATACGATATCCCCATTAAAGCATTTTTTTGTTAGTTAAATCACAATGTATCCAGATTGTTTGTTGGTCAATGGTTAAGTTCTCTGGCTACTATCTCCAAAATATGCATGGACCCTGCCAAGAAATAGGTTTGAAGATTACACTACATTCCTCACAGACTTAGTGATTCTTGGGGTTTATGTTAAACGGGGGGTGGTAGATTATATACTCTGAAATCACCATTTGGGGGCTGTAAGAAAAAGCAATTCATCACCATTTTTGCTGCTGGAACATGGACAACCTCCAATATAGCAAGTAAGTAGGATGATCTCCAATAACATGGACAATCTAGAATAACCCCCCTTGTAACAACTCAGTGAGGTTTATCAACTTTTTTTTAATGAAGGGAACCATCAATCACTGGTGCCACAGTTACGATTTCCACATACATACATTTCATTATATCATCATATTCTAAATATTGTATCCTTATATTAATATCATATTAATATCCAAAGTAATATCCGCATGTTCATCTTAGTCAAGTCTCAACATAGTACTGGACATACTTACTACTCATAACACCACTCATTTTCATATGTTTATTTCGTGCCTAGTTCAATTCTCCATGTTTTCACCTGGTGCCACGCCAGGAGCTTCAGCAACTGCTGAGTCCGCAGTGCAACGCGCTGCAATGCGAAGCCTTGCTGCGCATGGCGCTGGCGAAGCAACAGCGCGAGCGGAGTTCAGGCGAGGGCGTCGATGGCAGCACCGGCCGGGGTGGGGGAGGCCTGGGGGTATGGCTATTTAATGGGATTTATCGTGTTTCCTGATCAAAAACACAGGCAAGAGACCCCAAACAGTGTGGGTGGTAGGAAGTCAATGTGCCAGATACGAGCAACAGTATCTATGGAACAGTAACAGATGAGGTTAGACATGATCGCAATTACAGCAGCAGTACCTTCTATATAGATCCATATAGAGGAGCTCACAAGATCCTCATACAAAAACTCCCCATGAGCATCCCAGATGAACTTTCATACAAGCACAAGGGGATCTTCAAGGTCTTAATGCAAGGACCTCTTGAGGATGCTGCCAGCAGGATTTCCACAAGATCTTCTGACAAGGACCTGTACCAGATCATTATTTTCATACAAGCACAAGGGGATCTTCAAGGTCTTAATGCAAGGACCTCTTGAGGATGCTGCCAGCAGGATTTCCACAAGATCTTCTGACAAGGACCTGTACCAGATCATGCAAAGACACCGGGAGGATTTCACCAGGACCTCTTCAAGAGCTTCTCACAAGGACCTGTAGAAGATCGTGCAAAGGCCTCTGACAGCATTTGATTAGGATCTCCACAAGATCTTCGGCTGCTGCTAGAGCGGATCTTACAAGATCTTGATGCAAGAACCTCCCCAGAGCCTCCCACAAGAGCTTTCATACAAGCACCTCTAACAGAGAGGAATTTAGCAGGATCTCCACAAGAGCCCGTTTATGCGAGAATTTTCAATGAAAAAATGAGAAGAGTTCACCAGGAGCACTGAAAGACTTTCAAAAAACGCGCCAATACTTTACTTCTGCCAGGGGCAGGTTCCCAAAAACGCGATTTTCGACCCTTTCAAAACGTGGTCCAATTTCACCAAATACTGCCCCTGCCACAAAAAAGCGACCTCCAAGAGCACCTATCATGTCGACTCACTGCCCACGACTGCCAACTTTTTAGCACCATGCAAAAAGTCACACACCAGCTCCCCGGTGAAAAACATTCAGGGCCAAAATTTATATAGTACCTGCGCAGTCGACATGGACATGGACATCTCACAAGAGCAATTGCGCAGTTGAAATGCACATTGACATCTCACATGAGCAATTTTAGGCGAGAATTTAAAGGGAAAATGCCTGGGCCCAGAGAGTGTACGCTGATCTAACACCGGTCTTTAACACCTACCGTAAGAATCCCTCAGTGTGGACGCGCTGTTTGGAGAAAAATCAGCTGTTTGTGGTTGGGATATATCACTGATATACTGATTAATTAATGGGGTTTCTAATGGGATTGTATTGGGGATATAGTGGGAATTGATCACCAGCAGTATGAGTTTATCAATGTAATGGTCCATGGGAAAATGCTGCTGGAAATACGGACTTTAAAGCCTGGAGTTAGACGAAGTGAACCTATAGGAGTGTGTATGTGTATGTATATATATATAGATAGTCGCGTGTTCCCAGTTGATGTTCAATGGTAGTTTCCAATCTTGAGATGAAAATTGCAAGAAATATTGCAAGAAATGTTTGAAACATTTGGGGAAATTATGATCCATCGGTCGATGTAATGGGGTGCCAAGTATTCAATCTATGGGTACAATTGGTGCGTTTGTTTGGTCATGGTAAAACTGTTCAGTCCAGCCAGTCCTTATAATTCAAAACCATATCCCATTATATTACCAATGGTAGCCTCATGATATACCCGTGGGTAAACCATCATGTTTTTTTATAGCCAGGGATGTTCCATATTGCTATTAGATATCCCATGAAATATTCCATGATCTTTCCAGGATTATTGGTTTTTATCATCGTTTCTCAGACTTTTTAAAATCGGGCTGTTTGCATATATACACCACTAAGCTCGTTTATGGGTTCACTGGATTCAATAACCCCAGTTATCTTAGTTGGAAACTACCTTAGTTAACATCAATCAGCTGTACTGTAAATCATTAACCCCCAATAAATTACCCCACCTACATCCCGTTAAATCCAATTAAATCTCACTAAATTCTTCGAAGACCCGCATGCATCCCGTATAAATCCAATGAAATCCCCATGTTTTTCCCCCATGGTCATCTCGTATCGCAGGCGCCCTGCGGTTAGAGGAAGTGCTGTTGGTGGCTGTGGCCGGGCTGGGGCAGCGAGCGGATGAACTGCGGAAGGAACTGGGGCGAGATGCTGGGACTGCGACAGGCCATGGCTGGACTCCACCATATTTATACTTGGATATAATTTTATCCTGGGTTTGTTTAAGGTGATTGTTTTATTTTCCCAATGGAAAATCCACCATTTCGGGAATCTATAGGAACTTTTTAAATTTTTGGGACCCCCTAAGCAAACCCAAGTAATGACCTCTCTCTCTCTCTCTTTGTATGCATATTTATATATACAAATATTTTTTAACAATCAGTAGGAATATGATGATAATGTAATGGGAGCTATGTAAACATTGCAATTACTGATGTCCGCCCCAATTTCAGACAGATTCAACAAGGCCAATAAAATGATGGTTTCACCATCAAACATGGTAATATTAAACATTTTGAACCAAACATAGCCAGGATATTACTGTACATTATATATACGTGTATGTATATATATATATATACACATATAATGGGATATGATAAATGGAACAGCCATGAACAACTTGCCCCCAGCCAGGTGACTCCCCAAGAATGCTTTAACCACCAAAAACCAACCTGAACCATCTATTATGAGGGTTCACCGAACAGGGCGTTTTGGTTGAGGTTGGTTGAACCCCCTGAAGTGATGTGGGGATGAAACTGGATGGATGGGGCATATTGAAGTGAGTTTTCCCAACATTTTTCATGGTGGCAAAATTTTCATAATCTGTGGATTGAATGCTTCATGTTTGATCGTCGTCTGGTATTTTCAGCAGTACCAGGTTAAAGTCACCCGGTTTATCTCCTTTGGTTGGGCGTTTTTGTTCTCGCAAATCACAGGCGTGGGAGAGCAAGAGTTGTTGAATCAACTGCTGAGTTGAGTCACCAAGTTTGTGTCCCTCAGAAGAAGACGGGATACACACTCCCGTAGGTGTTGAATTCCTTCAGTGTTTCGGCCGAAGGAGTTTAGGGAGGACATCGTTGACCACTTTACAAGAATTACAGAATTATACCAGCCAAGCAACACCTGTGATATATGCACAGATTTACCATGACAAGTTGTGATGGTTCGGACAGCATCACACCCTGGAAACCCTCAAGTTACCCAGACAAGAGCATACTGAGGACTATGACGGAGAGGATGTGTCCACGAGTTTTGCCACCTTGCTTCGTCAGCCAGGGGCAGTGTCAGCAGCATGGCACATCAATTGCAGGGGTCACTGGTGAAACCATGGTGAAAACTGAGGTGGAGACGCTTTATGAGGGAAACATACCGGTGGACGGTAAAATGGTTTCAAAACACAACAGTTGCATGCAGATATTCAAACCAAGTCCATAACCACTAAAATTGTTTTACACTGAATCGCTGATGATTGTGGTTGTTTTATTGCTGCGCCTGGATGTTCAGACAAACTAATTTTCTTCGGATTGGAAACGAACATATTATCCATAGATTCTCTTTGCAAAATACAATAACATGTTGTGCCTGGAATTCGGATAGAAATACAATCGCAATGCCATATCTCATGATTCCTAACTCCAACACAAAAATCATTCCAACATGTCAGGAATTTCCCTTAGATTTCCATGACTTCCTTCAAATTTTCCACCCAAACATGACGATTTCTCGCAGATGTTCCGTAGACATCGACGGTCTCCCCGGTATCGAGGCTGGTGCGGCCGGTGCCGGCGCCAGCGCCCTGGAGCGGCTGCGGCGCTCCATGACGGTGTCCGTGGCCGAAGCGGCCAGGAAACTGCAGAGAGGCCGTGGAAGCTGAAAAAACATGCGATATCCATGGGATAATTTCTGTTCATGGGATGTATGATAACTGAGAACTGTTGTGTGATCATTTATGATAGAATTTGAGGATGGTTTACCAGTTTTTGCGTTATCAACATTAACCTTATGCTGTAATCGTGGCATGCTAATGGAAATGTTAAAGGGAATTCATGATTCATGGGAAGATACATGGGATATGGAAATATGAATGGGAATAATCACGGGATCTTAGTGGAAATGTCAATGCAAACAACATTGAAAATATGAATATGAAGGGAATTTTCATGGGATATAAATGGCAAGTATAGACATGTTAAGGGGATCAATTTAATGGGATCTCGTACTCGAATAAGTATATTCGAATAAAGGTTTACACTAAGGTGTATGAATGGACATATACCATCAGGAAATTGTTGGTATATCAATATGAGTAATATTAACGATATACTCATGGAATATAACTGGGAGATATACTCGAAATGTTAACGAGATATTAATGGGACGCCATGGAAGTGTCAATGAAATATTGGAAAAAACATAGTGGCAATATTCATGGGATTCATGGGCTATTAATCGGATAAGTATAATTGAATACCACATGAAGCTGTACTAATGGAATCTACAGTCATTAATGGAACTTTTTGATGTTTAACTATGGGATATTAAATCAAAATTTGATATGTATATATATATATAATTAATATGGGATAGATGGATATGTATATGCGGATATACAATCAACAATGGAAATATGAATGGGAATACTCGTGGGATAGTAATGGACATGCCAATGGAAAAACAATTGGAGTATAGACGTGGTATATGTATAATCTACAATCAATACTGAACACATGACTGTGGGTATTAATGGGAGATATATATGGGCATATTGGATACTAACGCAATATGAATCAATATGATTTAAATGTTCATGGACATACCGTAGGGAATAATATATATGTTTTTTTTTTTCTAATGGGATATGATTTAACTTTACATTAGGGTGTAATAATGGACGTATTGATGTGGTATTATTGGGATGTATGAATACCAATTTGACATTAAAGTGATATATTGCATCAATTATCCCCAAATGGCCGTATCACAACAGCTATTTTCAGCTTAGTGAATTGGTTCAATTCAGCCAGATGCATCAAGGTGTATTACTGTAACGGTACGGTATGATTAATGGATTATAATCAGATATGGCTTGTATAGGCTTACAATCTGTAGTTGAAGGCTGGGATTGTGGTAACTATCCAAAAGTAGCCTTATTCCAGGAGGCATGTTGGTAACTTTTTTTTCCTAGGTATATAATTGTTTTTTTCAACAATCTTGCGACGATGTTTGCTTTCTAGTTTTCAATGTCGATGCTAAGGTGTAATATTTTGGGATTCGAGGATGGTCTGATTCGGTATGTCTGATGTTGTACCCGGCCTGGTGAACGTTTACAAAAAGCAATGGAAAGATCCACCATGCTATTCATGGGAAAATCCACTATTTCAATAGCCATTTTCCATTGCAAACTGTTAGTTCACCAGAGGGTAAGGTTTTCTGAGGATTTGAGGATGATCTGATAGGGTGATGATGTAACGCTCTTGAGGATTTGAAGATGATATGATACGGTGATGATGTAAGGCTCTTGGGTGTTCGGACTTTGAGGATTTGAGGATGATATGGTACGGTGATGATGCTAGGGTGTTTGATGATGATCTGATTTGATACGGTTTTCATGTTGGGGTGATGATTGCCAAACTGTCCTAAGATGATATATTTTGAGCAAAACAAGTATAAGGTGCAGGCGCAACTTTGCCGGTGCCTTTTTTTATTTCCTCGGTGCAATGACTATGCAGTTTTTGGAAATCCCGAAGGCTAAATACCAGCACGTGACCTTATTACTAGTGATTTGTTTGATGTATATGTCCAGATTCATGGTTTATTCCGCATCAGCCTTGGGTGTGGTAAATGTATTATATACGTGGAGTTCATCATCCATCAATGTAATGTTTGATACCCATTGATATTGATATTGTTTAATTATAGTTAATGGTTTAGTTTGTGTTATGATTTGTCATGATGTTCTTTGATGTATCAAATTCATTAAGCTGCATTGGGTCTAAATTATTGAAATGGTTGAATGAAAGGCTTATGCAGTTGATGAATCGCTAGCAAACAAACATAGATGTGGGATGACAGTGGATGACATGGAAATTCCACAGAAAATGCAGATCATGTTCCTAAGCAACCCCATGGATGTTCACAGATTTCCCGGAGGGTGAATTTGAATTTGTCAAGTTAGTGGGTTGATGCGGTAACTTTAATGACTGTGCATTAATCAGTGGGATAATTGAGTTCGCGTTTTTTTTCTTTCTCCAAGCACAGCAAAGAAATTGAACACGTTGGTTGTTTTGTTTAAGCACACGAAGAAATTTCAGACCTTTTTGGGGGGGGCGCCTCCGGCGGCGTGTAAACGAGGTCAGCCATGAGATCTCACCTGGTAATTGGATGTAATTGGTTGGTGATTTTTTTCTGTAGCAGTTTTTGATTGATGGAGAATTCGTCCTGCATTCATCGAAACAGACTTGAGGGAAACGTCATGAACTGTTTACAAAACTTCATGAGTGAATAATTATAACTCTGTCTCCCTTAGCAGTAAAATTAGACCCCAAAAAAATACCCGACAAACAGGTGAGCCGCATCAGGGCGCCACAACGTTGCTTCACGGATGCAATTGGAACGACCATTGAGGGCCTGATCGTGAGTCAGAAACCTTGACTGTATTCTACTTTTCTGAGTTTTCACACCCCAGAAATGTGATGTTCTTTTAGGGGGGATGTGATTTGCTACAAGTTTTGGGGTGTCAATAGATTTCATGCATTTGAGTTCAACATATGCGGATTTTTCCCAGACATAACCAACAAAAATACAATTTTTGCGCGGAATCAATTGTAATTGTTGGAACCTTGGAACTAGTATGCTTTGAGATAGCCGGAAACATATAAACCTTGGATGATATGTTTTTTTGTTTTACTTGAAATCCATATAAATCTATAGGCCATTCCACCCAGGTTGGGCATTGTAGGAAAGCGGCCGCCAAGCCATGTGCGGAGCTATCAAAGCAGTGACACTGAGGACGACTCGCCACGGTTCTGTGGCTGGATGATGGTAGGGATTCGTATACCATTGCTAGGTTGTTATGGCCCTTCAGAGCCTTAACAGTTAATTCTACATGGGCTTATTTCATGATATATATATATATAAACTTGTGTTCTAAAACATAATCATATAATAATATAACCATATTTTTGTTACAGTAAGTTATGGTTTTCCATTCATAACTGTTAGTTGGGCCACAACTGTAGGTTGTTGATATCATGTTATACCTATACTCCATTGAGTACCCCAATTGCAAGGATTGATTAGCTAATCGTAATAGACGCGGTACATAGTTTGGTTTACCATCCCTAAAATAGATTATGTTGTGTACCCTCCCTAATTGGTTGATATATGTATATATATATATATATGTTTGCGGTGTATGCCCTTATTACATTATTTCATATTATATACTTCAATTTCAGATGGCTAGAAACTCCCTAGAGATTTCTTGCACTTCTCAGTACTTGGATCATCCCATTTACATCTACTAGGATCACCATAGTCATATCCCCCAAAAAGCATCAATATTAGGGATGACCCAACCATAGTTATACCTCAAATTTTCATGATAGTAAAGCAATCATAATTCACCAATATTTGGATGTTTTTTTAAACCGGGATGGTGGATCCTATTGCTTTATCAAAATGTTTATCCATGGTAAACTGTCCCATAACTATGGAAAATCACCCTTTTTGACAGGTAAATCAACTATATAATAAATGGGCCATTTTCAATAGCTTTTTGTATGTCATAACCAGAGGCTATCCATGGTATTTCAGCCCACTTGTACCATATAAGGCCATATTTTGTGGTGATATTCACTTACATTGGCCTTACATAGGCCTTATAGATGGTAGGTACCTCCATTTTAGGATCCTGAAATTCCCATTGATAAGATCCACAATTTGCAACCCCCTGGGTCCGGTCCGACTCGGTGTTGCAGGATCCCTCCATCTCTTCCCGTTCCCCGAGCCGCGGCAGCCGCATCTCACGCCATTCCTCGCCGCGGCCGGAGACAGCGGGCGAGTGCAGGACCGGGTTCGCCGGGGTTTGGAGGTGCTATGAGTGGGCAATGGATGTGCTGTTGGTTGAAATTGTGTGTTTTGATGATTTTGATGTTTTTTGTTTTTGTTGTTTTTCCGTGGGTTTCCGTTTTTTTTGTTTGACATGTTCTGTTCGATGTTGTTTCTGTCATGTTTAGTGATTTTAGTGTTTGATGGTCGTTTTGGCAGGGTAAGCCATCCGGAACTCAGAAATGGGCCCAAGTGGATTGAGATCGATGTTCGTTTTGCCCGAAAAAAATACTTCACCATTACTTCGCATCATTTTTTCCCAAGTAATTAAAATTATATAGCTCAATCTCGAAGCATGTCTCAATCGTCTCATTCTGTCAGGTCCCCTCCATGGTTTCATGGTTCCTCCATGTTACCATTTGGCGGTCACGGTCGATGTCACAAGGAGCCCGGGTCGAAGTCGAATCTTAGACGAGTGAAGCATCACCCAGTGGTGCGGTAGGTGCGGTACTGAGGAATTCACGAAAAGAAAAAGACCTGTTGCGCCTTGCGACGCCCGTTGGGAGGTGTGGAAGCTGCTGGATGGTCTCCAGGTCTTCAGGATTTGTTTTTCGTTGGTCATCCCGATGGCTATTGGTGGTTGCACTATCATCACTATAACATGTTCATTAGTTAAAGATGGTTAAAGCTATTACCATTATCACCCTCCGGCAAACAAACAGCGTTTTCCAGAGGATGACACGCTATTTTTGGCCGTTGTGTGCGCGTTCTTTGTTGCATATTCTGCCAAGAAAACATAGCTGAGAGCTTAAGATTCGACAATCGTTGGCAAGCAATCCTTATCTACATGTTTGGATATGTTTGGCAATGTCCGGGTCATGTTTTATCATTCATCCTGCTCGGGATGACGTCATCCCATTTGATGGCTCTGTCGTCCCAAATCTGTCCACCATGCGTCATTGGTCACTTCAAATCGTTTTGCTTATTGAGTGGCCCGACTGTTGACCAGCCAGTTGTGGACGATTGGTTTTTGTTCTTTAAACAAATCTTGAAACACTGATGTTTTATTCTCATGTCAAAGATTTCAAGATGACTACACATCCTGTGTATGTATATATATGTATGTATATATACACAGACATACACACACATGCATATTTATAGTATATATATATAAAAACGCACGTACATATACAATACATTTGTGCATTATAGTAACCCCCAAAAGATATAGAAAAATAATTTTAATACACTAGTTTAATGCGATTTTACGTTCCTATCTTTTTGACGGTTACTATGTGGAGCTTCAGTTTAGTTTGAAACAAATACCCTTGCCCGGGCCCATGGCAACAGAGATTCTCCGAGGCTTTCCGCCTGGTGGCATTTTTCGCCTGGTCAGGCCTGATTTTGTTGGACTGCCATGGGGTTCATCTGAAGTGGTAGCATTTGAACCTCGCAAGATGTATGAAACATGACAACAAATGTGTTTGAGACAAGGATTTTGCATATTTTTGTTCATAGTCATGTCGCATGTTTGCTACTAAATTATTTGTATATGGCAATTTTTGGTTGGGTTTCAGATGTTTCAGAGTGACTTGTTGAATTCCTCGGTGCAAATTGCTGGGGTAGGTTGGATCAGTTTGCCTTGCCCAAGTCCAGCTTCAAGCAGACTCCAAGGCTAGACTTCTTCTAAATTGTCTCTTGTTTTTTTGTCTTTTAGATTGGCTGATTTGTTCTTTACCCTCTGACGATCAACCATAGCAATGGAAAATCATCCATTTCTAACAATTTATAGATGATTTTGAGGGGGTTGTCCATTGCTTTGATTCCAGGGGCTACGATGAATGTGTTTTTTTTAAATGTACTGCAGCTCCTCCCTGCATAGGAACCAGCACAGTTTGTGGCTGATGTTTTGGTTCATGATCCCAGCAGAATTGAAGGCCATGTTTGCTAGTCACTCAGATTTGTTGGGTTGTTCACTTTTGTTTTGGAGAAAATCATGGAAATTGATAATGATAATAATGGATATAGAATACCTATGATAAATTGTGATTATTTATGATTAATATTATTGATTAATCATTATTCTTAAAAATGTTCGCCCGCAGCGCGAGTTTGGCTCAGCAACGATCTGTATTCGATCGCCTGTCTTTCGGCGTACGTGAGCGCAGCTCTTGCGGCTGTCATGGCAGCAGCGGCAGCGCGGAAACTGCAAAAAGACATTGAGGTCGTTTTGAAGAAAGGCCTGGCTAGTGAGATTCGATATGATTCCATGCGAGTTGACGGAAGTTTCTTGTGGGGTTTTTAATTGTTTTTATATGGCATGAATATCAGATGGCAGTTATTATGATCTAATTATATGTGCTTGTCTATGTTTAATATCGTGAAGTATCCTTCACTGTTGAATTTGTTGGGCCTCCAAGAGATTGCTGGTGCCGGCCTTCGGTATCCGTATATCCACGGATGAAGGTTGCGGATCCATAGACGTTTGAGCAGCAGTTGCAGGGTAGATTGTGGGTCCACTGGTTGGTGGTTTGGAACATTTTTTTCCATATACTGGGAATAATAATCCCAACTGACTAAATAATATTTTTCAGAGGGGGTGAAACCACCAACCAGTATATATACATATACATTTACATTGATATATATATATATACATACATACATGTATAATGTCAGCGGATTAATAAACCCTGGTTGATTCATTGTGGTGCTTCCCCCTAGTAATAAATGGCTACTGAAATGGTACCTCCCCGATTAAACAGCCTAGAGTTTATTAATCCGGGGTTGACATTATATTGTATATGCTTTCTTACTCTTCAGTACATCTACTTGACTTACGGGACTTTGGGATGTCCAGGTCCCGTCTCGAGTTTCGCCGGTCGTTTCGCCGTCCAGGTCATGAAGGGACCGAGGAATTCGCGGAGTTGTGGGAGCAGATGGCAAATGCCTCCAGTGGCCCCCAGAAGGAGAGACTGGGAGAAGAGTTGCGGCTCGGCCAGGTACCCTGGGTACCCCCTGGGTACCCTGGGCATCCCCAGGTGGAGCTGAAACTCTGCACGTCTTTTTAAGGGTCCTTGGTATTAGCTATGGTACTGCTATGGTTAAGTATCTCAAGTTTATGTTGATGGGGTTGTATCATGTTATACCACAATGTAAAGACCAACCCGTTTCGCAACCAGTTCGAACTATAGTTTCTGCAGACATCATGACGCCGGAGAAAACCACGACCTAAATTGAACCACTAGCTCTGCAGTTAAGTTAATATAGTCAATATACCACTCTTAAATCTACATACAGTAGCTCCTCTGGATTTGGCGCTTTACTGTATGTCTCACTTCTTATCGGTCAAGAGACCCCTTTTCTGTTGAATCATGGCTGAGTTTCCTATATTTGGCAGTCCTTTTGAGGCTTAAAATGGGGATTCAACCAACCTTTTTTCAGGTGACCCAAAAGATGGCTAGTAAACTCTTAGTGGTTGGTGGTGGCCCTTATTAATCACGGGGGTCACCCCAAGGGGGTGGCTTGGCTCAGGAAGAAGTGTATCAACAAGCTTCAGAGACTTCGATCCCAGATGCGAGACTGGTTGGGCTCCAATGCAGTACCCTCCAATCTCAAGGACGGCAAGGTCAAACTGCAAGGTGGTGGATGTGGTGATAGGCATGGCTGGAACCAGAAATGACATGTACAATGTCCGACTAAAGACATAAATAGCAGTTGTTTGCTATTTGTTTGCTATTTGTTTTGGGTTGATGATCTAAGGTTAGCCAAATTTAGTCATGTCATGGCTGAGGCACCATGGGGAAAAAAATCTGTCATCCTAAGCCGCAAGGACAAGCTTGAGGACGGACGGAAGTTGATTGAGAATGATATGTGCCTTGTGTTTTTTTTGGCCGAGGCGGAAACCAACAAACATATACGAAAAATAAACACAGTTGAGGAGTTGGCTCCAATTCGATCTGTGGTTATTTTGGGCTGTGATTTCCAACCGTTGTGCATTCTAGCAGTCATGTCGCTGGGACTGTGCTGCTCAAGTATGTTGATGCCATCCACCTTTGATACGGCAATTAAAGGCTTTCACGTTTGGCCTCTAACATATGGACTCGGACGTCGTAAATCCTTTGCCATTGCTTGTTCAAAGCTTCTTGGTCTTGAGGAAGGTGCTCAATACTATACTATATACTGAAAGTGCCTTTTGTATTTCTTGATGGGCTAAAACATGCTGAAATTTGGCCAGAAACTGCGGCATATCATATCCCACTCCCACTCCCAGCATTCCTTTGATGTAGGTTTAGCCATGATTATGCGCAGGGATCATTTGATAAAGATGGTTTGTTATGTTTGCTTTCACTTTGAGACTTGCAACAAGAGATGGTACCAGCTTCTCCGGGATTTCGAAAATTGCTGCTACTCAGAAGTCCCAACATCTAGACTGCTGAAAAAAAAACAATCCCTTTCTAGAAGCCCTTGGCGGCTTCTGGTAAGTAATAAGTATATAATATTCATGTCACTGTTTGAGCATTCTGTAAAATCTACAGTATATCTATCCTTGTATATATATATATGTTTATACATGTATATTTCTTCTGGGCAAATTATTACGACATATTGATATTGCGACGCTGCTACGTCACTGGCCGACCAAGCCCAATAATCATTCAATAATCATATATTATTGCCATATTTAATCACTTTTTTTTGAGTTGATTGTAATTTATCAATATAATTGATTTGCTTTCTGACTCGTTTCAGGCACATATCCGGAAACAAATCTCAGGTCCAGGTTCAAAGACTTCGAGCGGGAGTTCAAGACGAAAGCCTTCTCTGGTGCAGGCAGGCTGCTCACAACACCTGGGACCTTTGGGTTACCGATATTTATGAATGTAAAGTACACAAAGATATGGGTTTAATCACCATTTCATAAAGATATATACTAGGGCCTTACTAGGGAGACTCGGGTTTTGACTAAGTTATGAAAAATTTATAACAAACAAAATGGGCGTTTAATCGCGACTTCATGGTTGAATTTGATATGTGTATGTGTCCCCTGTATATCCCTGTTTATGGAGAAATGTAATATCCGAGGTCCCACTTTTTCTTTACTATTAAAGGTTAGCCATGCTTGCGGAGTGTTTGCGTTGGCATCATCTGTGGTTTGATGCCTTTGGTTCACCCAGATGGATGGATCCATAGCCAGGATGACACTTTTGAAACGGCGAAGAATGAAGAAATCCACCTGCACTAATAAGAAGATTTAAGTGGAGGTAGATCATTCGGGAATCCCAATGACTGCTAGGACGGGTTCCCTCTGAACTTTCAGGGACCATCCCAGCACAACAATGACAGCACTTGCGCAGAACAAAAGCTCGAAACCGAAACCTCTGTAGAGGCCTAAATCACCAAAAAAAATCAATTGAGCATGTTTACAAAGTGGGCCCCAGTTCGTTAGCTAAGTTGGTGCAAGTAACTCCAATAACATCCAATAACTATAAACCATAACTGGGGGGGCCCACATTGTATTTCGAAGCGTCCCATGTCCGCCATGGCCACCATGGCGCATGTCTCAGGTCTAGCCAAGATGGACGAGCTTGACCTAGAAGAAGCTGATGCTTGGCACCTCACGGCGTATGGACCACACATAGTTACCACCTGTGGTCGTTCAGAAAATCAATTGGGATGTGGTGACATTACTAATTACCATTAGTCATTGGGTAGCAAGTGGAGAAAGAACCTGAAAGCTTGGATGTATGGTTCCACGCTTTACTTGGGTTCAAAATTGGAGTACCCCTAAAATCCACTGGCTCATAGTGATCACTGTTAAAATTTCCATTTGGGGGTATACCCCATTTTCGTTGCAGGCTTGTGCACTTGAAGAGTGGAAGTATGAAACAAGCAGCAGTGCCTGTCGAAAATAGGCTGATACGTAAGGAAGAGAGAGGGAGGAAGAGAGAGAGAGATACCATGTAGAGAGGGAGGGAGAGAAAGATACCATGTAGAGAGGGAGGGAGAGAGAGATACCATGTATATAGAAATCAGATCATTGAGTAGTGGTACCATCCAATAAACGAGATTCGTGGGTGAAATCACCCACTGTTGGTTCATTGATTTTCCGTAGGTGGATTTGCCACCTAGGAGAAGCTGAAGTACCAGGACTGGTTGGGTCACACCATTCAGGACAGGAAACCTGGGGAGCCGGTGGGAACGTCAGGGAAGAGGATGTGAAACTCATGGTACGTTTGTTATCCGAACTATCCTGGAGGCCCGACCGAAAAGAAAACATTACATATCTAAACATAGTGCACATATAATCATATGCATATATATATATATGTGCGTGTGTCTGTGTGTGTGAATGTGTGTGTGTGTGTGCATAGAATACCCGGTAAGTCTCCCAAAAAATCATTTTGGCTGTGGTTGTTTGGGCGCAGGTGGGCACAACCAGTGGAAGTGAACCCTGCATTGCTGGTTGGATGTATCTAGCCCAGAGGGGTCTACAGGTCTCAGCAGGTTTTGAGGCTTTGCCCATGGGTCCCTGCATTTGTTCAATGTTGCAGCTATCCGGTTTACCAGATGACTAGGCTCCAGGTGGCGCAACAAAAATAACGGTTTCTCTTGGTACAATACGGATGGTATAAATGGAATTTGCCCAAGGCGTGACATGGCCAGAGCTGATCCAGCCAGTTTGGTCCCGTGGATGGCTTGAAACCATCCAACCAATGTGAAATAATGGCGGTAAAAACAATAATAACCAACCCATTTGGGAATGATTTATACCACCTATTTATGGTGATTTGGGGGATGGATGGGGATGGTTTATGGCATTGTTTTACAATGTTTTAGCCACATTAATATCCAAAGCCCCAGGCGTTGAAAGACCAGCTGGACCAGTTTGAAGCAGACACGCAGCTGTTGTCTTCGAAGCGCCTTGCTTGCAGCTGGAGCCCAGATGGAGCCCAGCAATTTGTAACGTGGGGATTTTTCAAGAGGAAAACATGGGCATAGCGGCATACCCCAACATGAGAAGTTGGAGAAAGCTGAAGGTGATGTGTTATTTCATGTTATTTCCCAATGGGAAATCCACCTTTTTTGGGAATCTATAAGGATTACGTCGTCTTTTTTTGGGGCTGAGTAGTTTGACTTCTGCACCATCTCCCACTGGGCCATCATGGTATCTCCTGTTTGGCGCCAGGAAGAACCAGAGTTCTGATGACAAGGCGCGACTGCCGAAGCTTCAGAAGGCTCAGGAGAGCAGCCGTGACGGCGGTGCTGCAGGTGTTATGTATGAAATTGAATATCCATTGGATAGTTGTATGCCCACTACACATATGAATCTATACCCATAGAAATTGTCAGTTGTTGATACACCCAATGGGATTACGGTCAAAAAATGGTTATTATATCCCCATTATATTTCAATGATATTTCCATCATAATATCTCCATGCCATATCTATCTAATTCTATCTAATTCTATTTAAATTCTATCTAATTCTATCTAATTCTACCTAATTCTATCCGATCCTATCTAATTCTATCTAATTCAATCTAATTCTATCTAATTCTATATAATTCTATTTAAATCTATTTAAATCTATTTAAATCTATTTGTCTATCTATCTATCTATCTATCTATCTATCTATCTTATCCATCTTATCTATCTATCTATCTATCTATCTATCTATCTATCGGTACGTACGTACGCACGCACGCACGCACGCACAGACATAGATACATACATACATAGATACACAGATACATACACAGATACATACATACATACATACATACATAGATACATAGATACATAGATACATAGATACATAGATACATAGATACATAGATACATAGATACATAGATACATATATACATAGATACATAGATACATAGATACATAGCTAGATAGATAGATAGATACATACATACATACATAGATACACAGATACATACACAGATACATACACAGATACATACACAGATACATACACACATACATACATACATACATACATACAGACATACAGACATACAGACATACAGACATACAGACATACAGACATACAGACATACAGACATACAGACATACAGACATACAGACATATAGAGACATAGAGACATATAGAGACATATAGAGACATATAGAGACATACAGACATACAGACATACAGCCATACAGACATACAGACATACAGACATACATACAGACATACAGACATACAGACATACAAACATACAGACATACAGACATACAGACATACAGACATATAGAGACATAGAGACATATAGAGACATATAGAGACATATAGAGACATACAGACATACAGACATACAGCCATACAGCCATACAGCCATACAGCCATACAGCCATACAGCCATACAGCCATACAGACATACAGACATACAGACATACAGACATACAGACATACAGACATACAGACATACAGACATACAGACATACAGACATACAGACATACAGAGTAATAGAGACATACAGAGTTATGTGACGAAATCACCATTATTTCTGATTAGATCCCCCATGTTTGTAGGTTCTAGCTCTGATTTCCCATGCTATTCCCATAACTTCCCCCCCAAAATAGCTGGATTTCTTCAGGTACGACGCACGGTCGCATTTATCGCAGGAGACCAGCCGATGGCATATCAAGAAGCTAGAGCAATTGCTGAGGGCTGTGACTTGGATTTGTTGGATGGTTTTCACATCAATTCCTCTTTAGATTATACATGGACCCCTCCAAGTAGCGAGATTCATATACATGGACCCTCCAAGTAGCTTGATTTATTGTTTTTGGGTGTTTGGTCCCTTATTCATAATTACTATGTATTTGAAGGGTCTAAGTTTCCAAGCATATACACTACATACACACATATGTATATAACGCCGCAAAGCCGAGGTGAACAACGATGCGGTAGAGATTAGCGACCTCGCCATGGTCAAGGAAAGCATAGAACTCCTGGTCGAGAACGGCGAGGCACACTGGGGGGGAGGGATGAGCTGTAGATGGGCTGTTGATGGTGTGGCTGTGCACATATTTGGGGGTTTCCTAAAATAGGTGTACCCCTAAATCATCCTTAGTAGGATGTTCCCTTATAAACCATCCATTTTGGGTATCCCCGTTTATGGAACCGGGGGGTTCCTGTTATATCAACCATATTGCCATGGGGATGAACATACACCAGTGATTTTGGAAGTTTACTAGTGTTTTGACCCAGAGCTGTGTCAGAGCAGATATTCAATGGCCATGACTCAGGAACCGATTCATTGGAGGTACCTACCATATATAATGCCTATTTTTGAGGCCTATGTAAGGGGATATACCCCCAAAATATGGCCTGAAAAATGGTACTAACGTACCTCCATTTCAGGATCCGAGAAATTCCCATTGAGATATTTGGAAAAACAGATGATATCTGAATGGGGGTCTTATGTCCACATTGAGTCCACATGATATTTGATTCAGTTCCAGCGAATATAGCTCTGACACAACTCATATATCATAAATTCCACCATTCCACTATTCCATATGATATAACAATGTTATTTTTGATATTTCCACTATTCCACTACTCATGTACGGTTTGGTAATTTAGCGTAGCGAACTGGAAAATCACCGTTCGTAATATATAGGTAAATCATCATGTTTATCATCTATCTTCAGGGCCGTTGTCCATAGCAAACTGTTTAACTAACCAGAGGGTAAGTCCCAATCCCAACTAATATTCCATTATATATCATGAGATATCCCATTTATATCCCATTCAATGCCATGCATAGCTATGTTAAATAACCAGAGGGTATCTGAATGATATACGTCACCATGGCCTCCCTGGCAGGAGTCAGAGCTGTATCATGATGAGTTGCTGTATGCTCCTGGGCGTTGGATGGGTTGAAGTTAAGAAGTCACCCAACATGGGCGCTTTACCATGGTTTACCGCTGGTAAATTCACAGTTTGATCCTGAAAACAACATTTTTTCGTGGAAGCTAATCTTCCAACCTTTGTTTGCCAGGGTCTATGGTAATTTACTGGCTAGTAAAAATGGTGCTTTGCTAATGGGAATCCCCCTAGAAACCAAGGTTTGAATTGGAACATAATCTATAAATGAACTGGTTAAGTACCATCCATGTGATTTGGTGCGACAGTTCATGGTTTATAACTAAGCAAATGTAAGTGGTCCCTTTCCCTGTTCATATTAAACACCCCAAGCAAAACACACGTGTTTTGCTTTTCTTCTTCGTTCAGATGAAATCACATATTTGTGACCATAAAGACTGTCACTTGTTTAATATTAGAGGGACATGTTTATAATATATATATATAATATGTATGTATGATGTATATACTATGGAGACATAATCAAACAATCAGAGTAGAACATTGAATAACAGGATAGTGTGTCATACAACACCATAGTTATTGGATCTAATCTAATTGGGTAAGACTGATTCATGTTAGTAGTATCATCTAGTATCACTGTAATGCAACTTGGTTATTTGGATGCCAAGTTATTCTATCATTATTCTATGGTTTAATCCTATGGTCATCACCAGTCAACCATCCCAAAATGGCCCTGAATTGTGGGTGGTTGCCCTAAAAAAACGTGCCGTCATGGTAAAACGCAATCGGGCTGTGACAAGGGGCCAGGGAGATTTGTTGAAATGATGGCAGACTATGAACTGAAGCTCCTCGGGAACTTGTTTTTTGTCCAGACTCCAGTTACAGTTTTGAACATCTTAGGATTCTTTTGACCTCACAGAGTACGAAGAAAAGGCTGGTCGATGCTGGCCATTTGCAGCTTGATATTGGGAAAACCCAGTCTACCCCTAAGGAGCCTTAGAACCCCCAGGAGGTTCAAGAGATATTCTAAGATCCCCCACCCTCACAGCCTGGCATATATCATATTATTCATTATTATTCCATTCTTCTCTTAAACAATATATGTCATACCATGTTTTAGCTAGACTTTTTGCCTCTTACTTGTCAAGGCTTTGAGTCTAAAACCCTTCGCTGCCGAGAGGGATCCAAGAGGTGGGCCATGCCAAAATTCCAATTTTTTCTACATCTATCAATACATAAAAATACACATCGTATCCGTTAGTTCTATTCCCATTACATCCCCATAAAAACTTGGTTTTACGATTTTTTCTTTGTTTGCTATATATATATATACACATATATATATATATGGATCCATGGGATATATGACATTTGAAATTTCCAATACCATCCAGTATCAATCCCCCATACATCCATTATATATACATCCAACGATATCCGTGCCTGAGTCACTCCAAGACTACATGGATATATACTGAATATATAACCTCAATAGAGCTATAGAAAACATATATATATAATTATATAATCATATATATATATATACACACTTTCATATTATATCACATATATATATATAGTTTTGATTATCGACACATTCAACTTTAGGACTAAAACTTAAAGGCTTGGTTTTGTGCCCCCCGCCTTTTCGGGTTTTCGGTGCCAGGCCATGCCCAAGGGCATGGAGGTAGATCGACCAGAGGAATCAGCCAGTAGTGCGGGTGATTCCAAGAAGGCCAAGGAAAAGGAGAAGAAGGGCAAGAAGTCCTCGTGGGCAGCTGGTCGAAATAGGTCGAAATAGGTCGAAATCTCTTAACATTCCTGGGAAAGAGTGGATGAGTGGGAAGAACTGTGAAAATTCCTGGGAAAGAGTGGGTCAGAGCTGTTTTTAAATTCCTGGGAAAGAGTGAAAAGTGAAAGGGAAGACTGAAGAAAAAGACAGAACATCATTTGGCGAAGGTTATTTTTGATGGGGCAGGATGATGGAACAATGTCTGGATGACAAAGGTTGCTCGAAAATTGCTGCAAACTCAATCCATAAAAATTGGCGAATAATTGAGTTTTAATCTGTTTTCAACCCGGTTTTTTGTTGAGGATTGATAAATACCGATAAGTTGGTGGAGTCTATGTCCAACAGGAAGCGCGGATTCCAGGTCTAAACATCTGCAAGTTTGCTGATTTCTGGGCAAAGATGGGATAAATGGGCAACCCTGTGAGTGTTGGGCTGCGTGGTGCTGACTGGTGATATTGGGTGTGGTTTCTCTAGGTACCCTCTGGTGATTTAAGAGATAGCTATCGCAACTCACCATGCGTTAGCCGGTAAAACATCTATACATAGGCAACAATGTTCCATAGTTAGCCAGTAAAACATCTATGCATAGGCCACAGTGGTCCATAGCTATGGTCAAGTTATAGGGATGTAAAAAAAGTAGAATGTTTGGGGCGTATTCTCCTGATGTGTTGATGACAAGACCCCCCTCTGCATCATCTAGTGTACTGTGAAAACAATCTTCATGCGGCTATATCCTCGTTTCGGGTATTGTATAATTGTTATAGTCATGTTCAATGTGTTATACAGTTGATATGTTTTGTTGGAATGCCTACCATACATGATTGGTCAATAAATGCCATCTATATATATATATAGGGTTATATGATACAATACATGCCACCATGATTGGTAAATACCATTGCTGGTCATGAGATGCTGGACGCTAAGGACAAGAAGGAGAAGGTGGGGCAGCTGATCAGTTTAATCCCAATCCCCATGGCGTGTTCGTTACTTGAATCCCATTGAGTATCATGATACTTAGTCCCCTCCTCCGCGAGTGAAACACCCAGATCCATATCCATTATCATTATCATTATCATCATTATCATCATCATCATCATCTTCATCCTGATCCTTATCCTTATCCTCATCCAGTCATTTCTCATGCCATTTGGCATCCCTCAAGCGTCACATTTTCGGTTGGCAATGGCAACCACCAGCGGCCCCTCCCCACACTGGAGAGGTCTCTGCAGAGAAGAAGACGCCCCCACCTCCAAAGCCTCCGGTGATCAGCAAAGTCATCGTGCCTTGGTGACAAACGAGTCGTCAGTGGCTGGCTACCCATGAAAAAAAAACATGTTTTTGTGTGAACCCGATTGAAAAACAGAGACCCTATGTTTATCCCATTATCAGCCCAGTTATTATCCATTAATGTCCATTATCATCCATTATTATCCCAGTTATAATGGGCTAAACTAACTAACGTAGATTAACCACTAATATCCCAGTTATTATCCAGTTGCCCTAGGGTAAACTAACGTAGATGTGGAAAACCAATGGTTTCCCTATGGAAGATGGGTCTACATTCATGGTGGGTCGTGGGCGTTAGCGATCAGCCACTGAATTCCCTTTCAATTGGACGAAGGTATTGGATTTCCCTCCCACTGTCCGTTCCATACTGTTGTTGTTGTTGTTGTTTCATGGTCAACAGTTCGATTATAGCAAGCCATAGCAAGGAGGATGGGGTGTGGATGGGGCAGGAAGAGGAGATTAAGATGAGCAAGATGCTCGATCCGGAGGAAGTGAAAGTGCAGGAAGATCAGTTGCTGACCGAAAGGGAAGAGCTACTGGGCTGCAGCTGCACATAGAGTGCTGGTACCGTGCTGGTGCGGTGACATTTGCCCTGAGGTGATTTCGAGTTTTCGAAGGTAAAGAGATGTACACCCTGGGGTCGTCAAACATGGTTGGCTGGAAAAAACACCTATAGAAACCACATCGATAATTTATCAATTTATCAATGGTTGTGTAAACATTAAAGTTTACCATTAAACCATATTAAACCTTCATATTTGCAGGTGATTCCAATTGCCATGTTTCTTTGTACGGGAGGGTCGGGACATCCTGATGTTCAAGTGCTTGTATAGGTGGTTGACAAGCTGTCTGAATGGGAAAATCATAGGTTAATGATGGTTAATAAATGTTAATAGTTGTTAATAAATGTTAATAATCATTTGTTTGAATCTGTTTGTTCTTCAATCTCCATCCCAACGCATTGGATGGTGATCGCCAAAACAAGCGTTCATATGCGTTCATCTATTTTTTGCTTGGCTCAGCATCTTCTGCCCATGCGTTTACCTCACGTTCGCCTAGGTTTATTTGCAAGATTTGCCAGATCCATGTGGTGGGTTGTCGACCGAAGTTGACCACTTGTTCTCACCTTTTCTGCCGCTCAGCATCGAGAAAGCGGCGATCTTACCCCTTGGTGTCCTCAAACATATGGCACGTCCTCGATAAATGGGAGATAATGGGGGGATAGCTGGAAACATCATCTAAAATTGGAGGATTTGGGGTTGGAAAATCTACGGTTGCACTGGGAAATTACCCCCAGCCAATAACTTTGGTGTTTTTGCAACTAAACCAGTGCTGGAACTAAAATGTTGGAAGTGCTACTGTAATGAATATTAATGAATGTTGGGATCCGCCAGCTTCTCAAGCTGGGATCCGCGAGCCGCTTTCGGGCTTTCAATGTTGAAACTTGAAACCAACCAGAGATGTTTTGGATGTCTTAACATGTCTTAAACTTGCAATCCACGCCCTGCGTTTGCAAGGAAAGACACCGGATATTCGGTAGACTACGGGAAGGATTTCACCAAAATCGAGCATCATGATGCACGCTTTCAATGATCCGTTGGTTTCAGATTTGTTTTGATAATGACTTGAATGATACCATGTGAATTTACTGTAGTAATTTAGTCCCCGTTTTGATAAGTTGTATAATAATTGTATACTATATATATAATTACAGAATACATGTGTAACGTAAAATCCCAAAATTAATAAAATCTACCGCACTCAACGAACCATGTTTTCCCTGCGAACTTCCCTGGAAAATCCAGGGTAAACAAGAGATGCTTTATGGATGGTATGTTTACCGACTGACATTTGAGCCATTTTTGGGATGGACGAGTTGTACCATAGTTTGGGCATGGTTTCTATGGGTTTATCATGGTTTATCATGGTGATCAGCCACGGTTCACCATACTTGGAGCTCGATCGTGGAGTCGGTTCCAGGATCTGATCTTTTTTTGCGCCGAGGTGGAGATTGCATTGCGCAGTGGTTTAATCAGCATCCAGACACACAGACCTGGGCCCAGAGAGTGCCCTGGCCTCACTGGCCTCGCTTTCCGGGGAAGCACCCCAGGTTGCTGGGGATTCAGCCACCAATAGGGATTGTTCACCATCTATCATGGGCCAATGGGGGGGTCACATCTCAGAGGGTGGTGGCTTTTTCCCCAGGACATCTTGGTGGGGCTTAGGGCTTAGAGTTTTTTGTTGGTTTGAAGATGTTTCAAGGTCATTTGGACTCTTGGACTATAGCACCCCCAAAAAAAATTGAACAAGTAATTTTTTGCTACTTTAAGGATTTTACTTTTCTACCTTTTGTTACTATATAACTCAGTCATAGCAGGTTGTATGAGCACACCAGCTTCAAACTGTGACCCCTGAGGCGAAAGCAGCTGGGCCCGACCGATGTGTTCCATGTCCTGTGTGCAAAAAGAGTCCTGGCTCAGCAAAATTACGGCCTGCGAACTCACATGCCACTAGTGGTTTCTGAATTTCTTGTTGAGTTTGGTGCTAAAGGCACGACAAGGTACAGATTCGCGTGGATTTGCGCCACAATGGCTGTATGGCAACTGGCTTCCATGCAGTCCCCAAGGTTTTGTTTGGTTTTGCGCCTGATGTAATGTGGCAAATATCCAGTTGTTTTTGCCTGTTCTTCTTCCATTCTCCCGCACCATGCGACCCAGGAGTTTGAATGAGAATATCGATCTTGCCCCTTTGAATGTTGGATCCCCCAGTGGGCCAAGAGGAGGGGCTAAATTCTGGTGAACTCCCCACGGATGTGGAAGTATGAGCACCAGTCTGGTAGATCTTGGGAAAAAAATGACAGGTGGGTCCCACAAGATGTATGGGCTACAGGGTAGGATTATATATAGCAAATACATGCAAATCCACTTCGTACCTACGTACCAGTCTGAAGGCGATGGAGGGAGAGAGGGAGAGAGGGAGAGAGAGACATACATGCGTACGTACGTGACATACCTACCTACATACAATACATTGCATTAGGTTCCGTTCCGTTACGTTTCATCATATATATATATACATTACCACTACCGTTACCATTACCATTACCATTACCATACCATACAGACATAAAGGATTGTATCCACCTATATGAGGGAGCTCCATTCCAACTGCGTTGTTGATTCCCATTTTAGCTCCAGCAATTTCCTTTGAGGTCTCAGTTTCCTCAGACACGCAGAGAGGTGTCTTGGCCGGAATACGATTCTTTTTTGGGGTATGAACATCCGTAAATCCCAGCTATATTGTTGAGGTGAACTGAAAGGCACCAGGGTATGATCCCGATACCAAACCAAAAACTGCACTTCTCTTCATTGTTTCTCTTATTCATTTGCTGCCCAATCTATGGCTTCTCTAGGGGGTTCCAGAGCTTCCAGCTGCCCTTGGGGATGCTTTGGGGATGCTTCCAGGTGAGAATGTGCTGTTATGGAGAATGTTGTCCGGCCTGCGGATAATTTGCGCCAACAATCCCAAGATCCGCAAGGGGGATCCCTGGACAGCATGGGCTGGGCTTGGAAGTGGGGCCGAAGGGGCCGAAGGGGCGGGACATGGCGGCCATGGCTCTCACTTGTCATCAATGTTCAGTTAAATGAGGCTTGGAAATGCTTGGAATATATACCTAATTTCTGAAATTTCTGAATTGGGAATGACATGGTAGTATAATATGATTGTGTTTGATTCAATGTTGAGTTTTGCTGCTATAGGTACTCCTCAGATGTTGAGAATGTCCAGAGGACCTTCATGTCATGTGTGGGAGACATGGTCATGAGATTACAAGTGGCATTCCCTGGGCTGGCAGCCTATGCTCCCCAGTTTTGGTTCTGGAGAATTTCCAGGAACAGCGGAAATATCATGACCGACCTCACTACAAATATCTACAAGTCAAATTTCCGGATAAATCATAATGCCCCCAGTATAAGTCTGTCACTGGAAATGGTGGTTTGGATTGGGATCACTGTCTATCATACCATCCCCAACTTCCGTTGAGCTTTCCGGCGGTTTCTTAGGATGGCAAGTGCGATTGGCAGGGCGAGTACGGCACCTATCAGAAGCACATTGAGGTTTGCAAGAATGTTCCTCTAGTTTCTTGGTAGCTGGCGGTGGGTCACCACTTCTAAGCGTCATTTAAGTAGAGCTACTGCTCCGTCAAAGACGGGGAAGTTTCTTTGTGTAACAGGCACCCTGAGAGATCTCAGCTTGGAGCTTTGCAGGTTGGCGTGGACTGGAAGCTTGCCATCAGGAATTTTTGTTGATACTGAGCATGTCTTATATATATGTATACCATATATATATAGTATACCATATATATATAGTATACCATATATATATAGTATACCATATATATATAGTATACCATATATATATAGTATACCATATATATATAGTATACCATATATATATAGTATACCATGTATATATAATATACCGTATATATAATATGTTGCAGCTGCAAGGCACGTTTTCCCCAAACATCACCTGTCATACGTCTCCTGCAGGATCCACCCTCAAAGTGCTGGCCCACAACTATAAGTCAACTGTGATAACGGTGGGGCACCGTTTCCTCCTATGGATTGTTAACCACAAGCATATAGATAGTATATAGTCTAATGAACAGTCACTGATACTTCGATAAGGATACATGTGGCGAATCTGAATCAAAACTATGGCTGGATATAGATAGTTTGAGTTAGTTATACCGAAATGACAAATCAGAGAATCATCATTTTTATGTCATCACACATCATCACACCCGCCCGATATACGACAATTATCTCTATGCCATCCTACCAGGTGGCTCCAGTTGTGTTTGTTGGTATAAACTCACCTAACGGTCACCTAACTATAATTTTATAACTATAGCTATTTCACCATGAAGCACACAGTTGACCTGGTGAACTGAGCCAACTTGAGTGACCAGGGCACCACTTGATCCAGTCAAAAAAATGTTAAATCCCTCCTTTGGTTGTTTTGTTTTTTCACTAGCCTTTGGTTGTTTTGTTTTTTTCACTAAACACTATCAAACCATCTTAAACCTATTGCTTTAATGCTTAAATCGTCCTTTTTGCTGGTAAACCCCCAATTTTTCATGCTGAAATCACCATGTTTCATGGTTAAACCATGTTAAACCCCATTTGTTCATATTTGTTCACGGTGACAACCAGCTCTTTTTCGTAGGCAGCCTATCCCCTTTTCCCTTTTCCTTGGCTGCCCCAAGGCAGATGCGGATTACCCCCCAGAAGTGGTGAGCAAAACGCCGGAGAAGGCGACTCCACAGCTGGCTGCTCAGGTGGCCCCGCAGGCGCCACCCGCGAAGCAGGTCACCGCGAAGCACGTTCCAGCGCCGTCCCTCGGAGAGTCGGAGCGATTTTTGGGGAAGACGAACATGGTTGGTATACCGTATATACCTGCAACTTCCGGTACCAAAAAAAAAGGGTTGTTTCTCAAGAAAAATTGAATGTTGTTTCCTACTGGAGGAATTTTCAGGGTTGGTATATGCTTGGGATGTTATGGTATATATATATATATATGTATATATACATGTATATATATATATATTCCCAATTTTTGGGATGGGGGCGAAGTTGGGAAGAGGGGGAAGGGAGTATATGATACTTGGCATATGAAATGGGTATATTCCCAACTTTTGGGAAGAGCAAAATACGAAGGGGTATATTCTGGTGACTCCATGAGCCAATTTGTTCAAGGTACTTGGAGGGTCGATTGGTAGTGAGAATGATGGAGAATCAATTCACTGAGAATCCCATCCCCCTAATATTAAGCACCTCCATTCTCCTATTGTGTCCCATATTGGGGGGAAGGGATTAGTTGCTCGGAAGTGTACTGGGAACGGGAAAGAGGGATGATTGTCAATAGAAAATTATGATGAACTATGGGTCATTCCCTGCATTCCCTACTAAGGACCAGTAAGTAGAGGGAGATGTTTTTTGGTGTTTTGGGGACGGGGTGGATGTAATTAATTAAATTACAAAAAAGGAATGAAACATGGAGTGAAGAAAAAACATGAAACTTAAGCTGACTCAAGTGAAAAAGAAACTTAAGCTGACTTAAGTGAAAAAACACACTGGTTGAGACTTAACTGTTTGAATGCTCATAGGTTCGTTTGAGGGGTCACGTTTCCTAATATGCCACGAGAAATGGTGGTAAATGGCAGTTTTTGGAATGGTTTGGTTGCCGATGATGCTTGATACGCATTGGTATGCCTATAGGTTTTGCCAATATTTTGTTCATACTGGCTATATTTATATAGTCATTTGATGTCATTTGACCATCCGCATTACCAAGATAAAGGCTTGTTATGTTCTATTGGTGATGGTTTCCACAGTGACCATTTGATATAACAGTGCCTACTGCACATATGAGTCGCCACAGGGTCATATTCAGGTGATTGGGTTTTATGTATCCCAACCATGCTAACATCCTACATGTTGAAACGGGTCTAACATGTCACCAGTTGAAATTCTCACAGCATGAAGTATGATTACACAGCAGGGTCGTTCCAAAAAATGATTAAACCGTTTAAACCAACCCCAGGGCCCAACCCTGATACAGCTTATGTTCCACTGAGGAAGCAGTCTCCAACGCAGGCGCCCAAGATGCCAGTGGCTCCCAAGGCCGCTGCAGCTGCAGCTGCGCCCAGCCCTGCGCCCGCAGCACCGGCAGCGCCACCCTCGGTGCCTCCGCAGCCGCGCCGATACGAAGAAAGGAGGGACACTCAACGGCACCAAGGTTTTACCTGGGGCCCAGTGGGGGCCCTACATTTTGCATTGGTTTTGTAACTATGACATACTAGAACTATAGGGTTTTGGAGTTTTTGGCAATGGAAAGACAGTTGTCATCCCAAAACTTGGGTCGACTTTTGCGAAATGAACATCATCCCCAGCACCAATGGATACACATTACATAATGTGCGCGTCTTTACCAGTCTGGATAGTTTGTTTGGCTGATGTCACTTACAGAATACTTACAGTATGTGCCCCCCATTTCAACACGGCCAAGAAGTAAGTCGTTCTAACTTTCCAATTATGAGTTGGTTTTTACACCCAGCCTACTTACTTCATCAACAAATTCCTCAATTGATGGGTGTTCTTTGTGCAAACAATTACATCTATATGCAAGTTCAATTTATCGTACCGTGTGCCAACTCGCTTGTCTCCTTTCCCTTCATCTGTGTATCCCACTCCATTGTTTCTTATAATGTTTTATCTCCTGCAAACTGCCAAAACGGATGGTTTCAGAAGCTGACGACATCCTTTGTGACATTAGGCAGGAGTTTCGTCATCCAGTGACGTTACTCTTTGGCAATTTGTTACATGGCTGCTGCAAATGGCTATTTATAATATTTATAGTTGATTTACCATGATGTATTCCATGAACAATTGTGATTTTCCAGTTCGCAAACTGTTAGTTTGCCAGAGGCTCTGCTCATAATTCATGTGTCAGATCCCAACCATCAGCCTTTCAGCTGACCCAAGGAATCACAGCCTCAGATTCCTCAGCCGGCCCCGCAAGTGGCGCCGGCCCCAGCTGTGGCCCCGGTGCAGTGCCCTGGTCTTCACGGTGATGGGTTTTTCTGGGGGAAAATCTGCACCGGAAACCATGGTTTCTACCATTAAATATGGGCCATGTTGGATTTTCGGAAGTTGAGGTTAAGTTTATACAAGGGTATCCTGCATGTATTTAGGCATGCTGAATATTGCTGAATCCTTTCTGTTGTGTACAGGTGCGGGCACCGATGTTACTCTCCTTTTTATTGTTCATAGGGTGGAGGGGGACGCAATAGCCTTGAGAAAAGCCTAACTGTGCAATGATTTTTGCTGGCAGGTTTCGGACTGGCCTTTCACTGAGGATGGGTACAAAGTACTGCTATGACCCATTCTTGATGGTTCAGTCCCGAATGAGTAGAGAACATCTCCATTGTTTTTGGCCTGACGCCCGCATGTTGACTGTTTGTGTGGCTAACACCCTTTGTGTTTGGTTACTGCCGAATAAGGGCAGTGTTGAAAGCCCAAAATGTCGTCCTTATGTCCTTGACCTTTTGCACTGGTTGCTTATATAATGGTTTATAAATGTTTATAATAGGATGTCCTATGATTTCTTGCAATAATAGCATAAGCCTATGCAATCATCCTTCAACAGGGGTTTTGAGCACTGCTCACTGAGTAACTTAGTAATTAACTAGCAAGTAGTCCTGGTTGAGAAGTCAACTGAGTATGTTATCCCGTGTGTCAAGGGGTACTGGTGGTTTGGAACCATATATTGGGAATAGTAACCCCAACTGACTACTATTTTTCAGAGGGGTTGAAACCGCCAAGCAGGGTATAACTACGGTCATTATCATTTTAAATGTGATTATCCTCGAAGTGGAGCATAAGGAGGATAAAACGCTAAAAGCATATAAAACCAAGAATAATGAGGATACGAACGGGATAAATATGAAGGGGATATGCAGAATATTGGTCCTGATCGGTATTTGTTTTGGGCAGACCATGGGAACACAATGGAACACATCATATGCCCGAGTAACAGGGAAAAACACGGCAATAGTGGGTATCTTCATGGCATGTGAATGGGATACATAAGAAGCAATCTAGGAAATGTATGGAAATGTTGTGATTTGGGATTATCTATATATTTTATATCTGAATGGGATACCATGAATGGGATACACATTTTGTGACTGGGATAATCTAATATTCTGTATCCGAAATTGGACATACGCACAAAAATAGCAATTTGAAGGCCGAAAACATGATTTAAACACCATGGTATTTGGGAACATTTTTTCGACAAAGCTACGTCTGTTTACCATGGTGGTAGGCTCAAGATATGGGAAAGCCACGGGGGAAAGTTGGAAAGCCACGGGGAAAGCCATTGGTCAATCATGTTGCGCCTAGGGCGCCCCGCAGAGAAGAGGCCGCCTATGCAGCTCCGCAGGCTGCATACACAGGGAGCTACACAGGACCAATCGGTGTCGGGACTTTCCCCGTAATCCAACGGGGCAATTTTGAAAACTCCACACGGATAGATGATGATCGATGATCTTCCCGTTAAACTGGTCTTTAATGGTGGATTTTCCGTTGCTACCGTTTGATTACGGAAGGGTAATGGGATTTATGTTGGTTTATAAATTGGTATAAAGTAAAAAAAAACTCTGTATAATTCTGTATGTACATAATATAATATAATATAATATAATATATATATATATATGTATACAGAATAAGATGAGATATGATAACTGGGATAACAGCCTCAAAGATGACTTGCCAATAGTGGTTGGGCTAATTGGGAGCTTCTTGGCCACGAAATCTTAATGATGGTTGTTTTTTTTTTATGATTTTTCCCTTGGGTTTCCATGATTAAGGCTGGATCTGGATATGTTTGGACGTTTGGACTAGATCCTCGCCACGATGTCACTGCTATGATGAGTATGGACAGTATGGGGAGCTGCAACTGGCCTAATTTCAGGACAAATCATAGGAATAAACGTAAGACAAGGCATTGATTCATATAGTGTGATACTATTCCAATAGGAAGGCGGTATAAAACCTGTCATACCACTATTTGTGTGGATGAACATCCATTGGCTATCTATTTTGGTGTGAACAAAAGGGTACCATTGTTTTGCCCCACAAGCATATACCAAGCAACATCAACAACACAATCAAGTTACAGAGTATGCAAGATAGTGAAAACTGACCCGAGTGACAAACATATTCTATACAAACTTCAGGCCGGAGAGTTGTCGCCAATTCCGGGTTTTCATGGAAAAAACCATCGGCTCTCTGGCAATTTACTGTAAGATGGATATGGGAAATCCATGGCTTTTCTGGGAATTATCTACAAATAGGAGGATTTTCCAGGAGGCTCATTTGTGGCTGAAGGTTCTATAATGTTCTATATCAAAGTGGTCAATATTCCAAACTAATTGTTCTAATTCTAATGATTATGATTCTGGTGGTGGCTGGCCATGTGTTTAATGCTTGCGGTATCACCAAATCAAGACCACCTTTTGAGACTCAGCTGTAGGATCAATCGATGAGTTTCGGGGATGATATTTAAATCACCATATTTGGGCTGGTTTAAATCACCATGCATCCCGTGTTTTGATGTTTTTTGCTGGTTAAACATGGTTCGATCCTAATCATAAACACTAGTTGGCTGGTAAATGGTCAAGATAGGTACTGTATATACATGGGAGAACCCGATTATGTTCGATGGTTGCATAGTCTGTTTTTTAATGGCTCTTAACTAAAAACATCATCTTGCATCAGATTGCTTCATTGTCCAACATATTTCTCACTTCGAACCCTTAAAGTTACCTATAGTTTTGTTGGTATTTCCATGGTGAAGCCTCCATTGCCAGCTAAATCATGAACATCATTTTTCATTATTATTTTTTTTCCATTTCAGCCATTTCAGCCATGGTTTTTCCCAACAAACCGGCCATTCTTTTCCGGTCCCTTTGCGGCCCGGGCCGGTGCCCGGGATCCTTTCGGAGGATATGCCGTGGGCAACTTCGAGGCCACCGGGCCGACGATGGTCCCAGTGCGACATGGTGATGTGATCGAAGTCTTAGAGACTCACCACACAGGCCGAACCGTGGAACCACCTGGGGAAACCCAAAATCCATGGGAAAAATGCGGGAAAAATGCTGGAAAATATGGGTGGATGTTTTTCTTACTGGTGCTAAACCTAGGGAATGGATGGAGGAATGGATGGGTTGCTGGGGGTTGCTGGGATGATTATTACTATTATGGATCATTCCCGAAAATTCCCTGCTTTTTGCACCAGTAAGATTTTTGGTGCCCAAATGGCGACTGGGCGGTTTTCATCGTTTTTTGTGATGGGGCAGGAGAAAAAAACAAACACTGGCCGGGACATATTGGGAAGTTATTGTATTCCATGACGGCCGCAATCACTACGGGAATCCTGTTCTTAAGCAACCAGCCGGGAATGACGTTGCGGGTTTTGAACAGTTGCACCTCACCGGCAGACCTTAGATATATCAAATCACTTTACTCAAGGATCGTCATCCCAAAACTGAAGCTGATTTTAGGTGATACCGTGATATCCAAGTAAACATAATTTGCCACGTCCAGTTTCTTGGCACCAGGATGGAGCTATGCTAAGAATCTCACGAACAACAGTTCCTTGGTCGCACACGGGAACCGCAGGGCATGAGCACAATATCAGCAGATGGGCCAAAGATGGCCAAATCAATCCGACCCCAAGATGTTGACAACTTTTATGATTTGGGAACGTTGCTGTTTTCTCCAAGTGTTTCTCAAAGTGTCAACCAGATTCTCAGAGTTGATTGAAGGGCACATTTTGAAGGTGACACTTAAACTAATAGTTTCAACAATAGTTTCAACCATAGTGTCCAAGAATTTCCCTAACAATACACACAGACCCCGAGCTTTGCCATGCTTTGCCCAAACCCAGAAGAGCGTAAATACCAGGGAAATCTAGACGACATCAAACAACGGGAAGGATTTGATGTTCAATATTATGTTGCTAGGGTGTTAACCAAACTATTGTGTTTTACATAATATCATGATTATGTTGCTTCTGCATATCATATTGAACTAAATATACAGTCATTAGGGTTTCTTATGGGTTTTCAAGAAGATATCTAAATCCCCCGGCACAATGGAACAATTAACCATTCAATCATTAGTTGTTTTAGGGTTTCAAGAAGATACCACAATTCCCTGGCCCCATGGAAAAAAATAACTAACGGCCATTAGGGTTTCTTATAGGGTTTCAAAAAGATATCAAAATAATAATAATAATAATGATAATAACAATCATCATCATCATCATCAACAACAACATCACCACCACCATCATCATCATCATCATCACCATCATCATCATTGTCATCGTCATCGGATCACGATCATCGTCGTCATCGTCATCGTCATCGTCATTGTCATCGTGATTTTGGTCTGCCCGGTCGCTCGTTGCGAGTCCGGGCAAACCTCAGGGTCTTGCCGTAACAATAGTTTCTAACAATTTCTCTAACAATAGTGTCTAACAATTGTGTCAACCCTATTTCCATAAGTTTCCCCTATTTTTTCCTTAGGATGTTTCCATTTTTCCTAAGCTTTCCCCGGCTGAGGCATTCCTCCGGGCTGGGTCCCATCCTGGATTGTGGATGCCTCCCGGGCGAACCCGGCGCCGCAGCCCGCGTCTCCGGAGACGCCCCCGGTGATGCCTGCGCAGCCTGCGGCGGTGACGCCACCCCGGGCCGAGCCGGTGAACAAGACGGTGATCTTGTCACTTGGATCGGTTTTAATTGGGGGTTATCCCAATGGTTGATGGAAAGATATGGAAAGATATGGAAAGTCCGAAAATTCAATGGATGACTTTGGAGGTACTAATTAGGTACATTTCAGGAAAGCTCCACTTGGATGAGTTGGGGTGGAGAATGACAGTCATTCTTTTCCGGAAGGCTTCAATTGTTTCTATTTCTTTGGAGTTGTTTTTTCTGCATGTCACTTGTCCTGGATGAGAGCTATGTGTTTTTTTTTCCCACCCGGGGGTTGAAAAATGGGAATACCTTGAGAATACATGATCTTGATCCCCGATAACTCATATTTTTGGAGGCTGAGACCACAAACCAGTCAACATGTTTGATTTATTTAGGTTTATGTTTGATCATTTTGATCATTTTGATCATTTAGTCCGTTAAACATTTGGTGGACATAGTTAAGTTCGGACAGTTAATATGTTAATAATCCAGGCCCACCTCCAGTGCCTCCAGTCACTTTGGGACTTTCATTGCCACTTCATTGGATTCATGGGATGAGTGATGGACAGGTGAACCCAAAACATGTTGTTGTTGTTGTTGTGGTTGTTGTTGTTGTTGTTGTTGGTGGTGGTGGTGTTGTTGTTGTTGTTGTTCTCTTGGGTATCTATTAACCTATTAACTAGCACGCTATTTTCTGGCTGCATGTTTGGCCAATAATACTTTGTATATAGGGTTTTTGTAAGTTTACTTGTTTACTTGGACTTTCAAATTTGACATTAACAAACGTCTTTCGGACCCTAAGAATTCCATGTGTTCATGCTCAATGAGGGTGAAGATTTTCAACAATGGAACTGTTGGTGGCTAGCACGGGGGAAACTTTGGGTGGTTAGTTTAACACTTTATTCTTTAGCCCAAACGCACATATATTATATATGTATAATATGTTATGTTATGTCTGTATGTGTATATATATATATGCATATAGAAGATTAAGACACTAATTAGGGTCATGCAGAGTACCTAAAATTAGCCACGCATAAACATACCCAAATGCTTGAGGGTTTGTTTTATAACGCTGCCATGTGCAACAGCACAATTTGGCATCGTTTACGGAACCGTTGGGTTTGTCACCTTCGTCCCCATGGTGATGTTGACTACCAGAAATTGGATTCCAGCAGCAACTAAACTTCCTTTGTATCATTCAATAAAAATATTCGATCAGAGCAATGTCTTGTGGATTTCTTATCCCAGATTTGCATGAAAAAGACAACTTTGAATGCCTTCGTGTAGTTTTTGTTCCCTTAAACCAATTCCGGATCGCCGGTTCAAGCACCAGCACCATCCAGCGCGTTGCAGGCAGACACGGGACAGAGAACAAGATCTTCGACCCGCAGCAGCGCCCACCCGTGCGCCACCTACCTTGGTGACTCCTAGCAGGGATTTCGTGTCAGGCAGGGCAGCCAGGACCACTACTGACGGTGGATGTCGGTTGGAGATATTTTTGAGATCAAATCATGGATAGTTCCTCAATGTTCCTCAACTAAACGGGATGCTGCAGGGAAATAGTAGTTGTCTTAAGGTTTATCAACCAAATACGGTTGGCACCTCCAAGTGGTGAGGTGTTCACCCTCTCTGGAGCCAAAATGGTCAGTTGGCTTATTGTTTTTTTGCTAGTGCCGGAGCTGTGCCAACATTAATCCCATGCCCCATTCAACATCCTGCCAATGATGTGTAAATCCCCTATTTAAAGCATGGTTTCTCGGGGGGCGTTTGATATTAGGAGGATGGGATTCATGATGCCAGTTGGTCCCAGAAGGTCCCAGAACAGGCGGAGTTTAGACTGGAAAAGCTTTAGAGTGGAGTCAATCAAGTACGTTTTGGCCTAGGCTATGGAGATATGTTCTTATTTGGGAACCAAACATATCCAAGTATTATGAAAGCATTGGATTTATTATATGACTTCAAACTTAGTGTTGCTGGCTGTCATGGAGTTCTCTGTTTGCGAGCCTCTTACCTCACAGGTAGCGATTCTCAGATGTCCTTGTCCACGCTTGATCAAGTGGAAATCGTAGAGCGCCACCAGCCACTCGGCCATCTCAACGGATGGGATATGCCAAGAAAGAAATGGGTCGAAAAACGGCGATTTTCTCTGGCTTTTAACGTTGGCATCCAAGGAGCGGATGGACTTTCGGTCGCAAGATGCTCAATGGTGCGTCGGTATCTGAGGGTTGGTTTCCTGATTGGGCCTGCACCTTGGCGATTTGGGGGATCCAGCCATAAAAAGGCGGCGTACCCCATGATGGAAGGCCTCACAAAGAACTTGTTTTCAAAGAACCGAAGCTTCTGATTTCGGGCGGCATATGTTTTTTTGTGGAGTGACCTGGGGAACTGGAAAGATGCTAAATTATTTGCCCAGACTACCATTTGGTTTGACAATGTGATGAACATGGATGTGGTGTATGTTCTTGAATGTCAGTGAGTTCTTGGAATAAAAGGCATGCTCTCAGTTTCAGAGGTTGTCCCGCAGGATCAACACTTTTTTTTGCTCGTAGTTCTGGCGACCCGGATGAAATCAGAATATTCCGAATGGAGTTTACAGAGCAGGGTTTTTTTCACCGATTATCACCCCTATTTATTAAATACCATAATTACATATAACTATCCGGCCTCCACATATATATATATATATTATACATGCATGTTATATTATGTTGTGCTACAGTATATTGCACCAACATATTCTTACATATTCTGTACTATATATATATATATAGGAGATATATTTTATATGTGTTTATAGTGGTGCAATATAGTGCATCATTTTAGTCTTTATTTGTAGCTAAACTTTATAGGTTTACAATTATATATATACATCATTATACGTACATATATATATATATATTATACACATATATTATTGTTTTATAGTATATATCACTTTATTTTACATATGCATGTGTGTCTGTATGTGTACAGCCATTGCCGAGGCAATCCAACGGCCTGAAGGATAGCCATCCAAGGTGGTGGTGCATGAACCAACCTAGTCGTGTCGCGACATAGGCAGCCGATAGCCTCAACACATTCCCAACACCAAAGGCAGCCACCATACACACCATACAGCAATGGCAACAATAAGCCTAGCACATTGCCATAAAAACAACTGCTGCGCTGTTGGTTTTTGGCACAGATCCTGAAGTGATTTCCGTGACCGAATTTGAATCGACCGGAAGCGCACCGCTTGACATTTCACAACGCTTCCTGGTGAGGGTTGGTACTCACTCCGTTCGCCCTTGCGGCCCGTTGCCACCACCGAGATTTCTGAAAAAAGAAATGCCGCCATCGAACGCGGAGCACGGGGGCGGAGTTATTTAAAGAGATGGCCCGGTGGGCTTTGTTTTTTTTCTTTTTTATATGGATGTGTTTTTTTTGGGGGGGGATAATGATCTCGTTTGACAAACATATATTTGGGGAAGGTGCTGAAACAACATGAAACAACCTCAAAAAAACGAGGTTGCATGTGACCATGGCATGTGTCGCTTAACTTTGATCAGCTTGATGTCGTGCAAATTTCGGTCTGTGGGATAAATCATGTTGCCACAATAACCCCCCGCGATGTTTTCAAATGGGGTTTTGCATCCCCAAATGGCCAATTTTTTTTCATTCAGGTGAAGTATTGGAATTCTATATCTTGACCAGTTGTTTCAATCAGATGATGCAGATTTTCCATACCCGGGATCATGACCTCATGACCCACGCCAGGCAGCTGAGTGCGCTGCTGGTGAAGGGTCGGATCTGGACATATCCTGCACAGTTTACGTGTGTGGATAGGAAGGATTCTGGTGATTGTGTTTATTTTTGAGGACTTGGGTGCCATGAAAAGATGCTGTTGTGTGAGTTGCATGCATTTTGGAATTCATGTCAGTGATGATATGTCTAAACACACAATTTGTATCTTCGACTCATCATGTTCATCCTTGTTATCCAGCACAAATGCTCGAAACTGTCACCATGATCATTGCTGTAGTCATGAGATGTCATCAGCATTATTACTATATATGATATACTATCATCACCATTATCCCAAAATATCCCATGAATCAATGTCATTGCACTACTTGTATACGGCAACCATCATTATTGGATCGAAACCAAGTATCATGAGTTTGTCATGATGCCGCCATCAAGGACTTCACTTTGTAGGACTTGTTTGGTGGTTAAAGCCTTCTTTCATAAAGAAAGAGCCTGGGATTCACTGGTTTTGCTGCGGGTATCCACGGGAATCTTTGAAGTTTTGAGGCTGCGAGAAAAAAAGGTCAAGCCAGGCTTTCCCTCAGAAGCAACATGGGAATCTCTGCAGTGGATCCAAGTACCTTCTGAAGCAGTTTTTGGTGGTTTGCCCTATGCAAGGCTTTGTGTCCATATTCTCTTTAATTTCAGACATTGCCTGGGGGTTCACGTCAGATTGCTGGGTGCTGCTCGCTCAGTCTCTCCCCTTATTTTGTTGGGTCAAGTTTTCTTTTTTTCGCAAGGCTGCCCTGAAGTTGAAAATGAAAAACAGTGCCTAAGATCTTGGAGAAATATTATGTATGCTGTTTTTTTTTGCCGCGTGAATTGACAACCATGGGCACGACTTCCATGTGCCACACTTCTGGGACTTGTTGAGGCTCAATGGCAGAATGTTGTTGCCATGGAAACATGTTGTTGTAGCTCCTTGAGTTAAACTCGGGCCTGCCAGAATTGATAATCGGAAACCTTCTCGGAAGGTTAATTCCCGTGTCGAAATTGGTATGTTTTGGGGTGCAGGATTAATTTCAGATATTTCAGGGTTTCTATCGTATTGAAAACGTCGTCAGTTCTGTTGGTTGCTTCAGGAGAAAACCTGGGTCCCCACCACAATGTAAAGCTCCCAAAAGGCCGTTCGTTCAGGGCTCATGAGGCACCATCATCCCCTTTTTTTGGGGGTTTCATTCAACCCATGACTCATCGTAGTTCCACCATCGTCCCATCATCCTTGGACATGCCAGGGTGCCCCGGAAAGCAGGCGCACAACCGATATGCCTTGCGTTGTTTGGGGCCTGGTTTCGGACCATTCCCCAACAGAGTCAGAAGGTGTCAAAACCAGGTCGTGGTCGGGACTCAAGGGGGGAACTTGCTAGCAATGTACCTGGAATGGTACTAAAAATCTGAATGAATCCTGTAACAAGATATGATACTCATCAAGTTTTGTTGGAAAATCCTATATAGTCTATATAGTGCCAAACAGAATCATGTTGGACAAATTATGAAACCCTGGTACAAATTATGATCTTTTGTTGGATAACTCCAGGTTGGAGCCCCATGTTGCCAGGGCTTCGACCCGCCTGGTCGGGAGCATTTTCCACAGATGCCTTGGAAGGCTTCCGTCTGGTCAAAATCTACCGGTTATTTAACATAGCCATGTTATAGATGGCCCATTTATAGATGGTTTATGATGGTTTACCTATTAAACATGGTGATTTTCCATGGCTATGTTAAATAACCAGATGGTAGTCATGGCTTTGACGTGTTTTTTTGATGTTTTTTGCCATCTATTACAAAGTTGTTCCTACACATGTGTCAGAGTGGTTGATGTTTTTTGGCGATGAATACTGGGTAAAAACAGGAGGCTGTAGCTATGGATTGTGACAACTTACTGAACACCAGGCCCTACACGGTGAGAAATCAGTATTCAGCGCACAAATCATTGAAAAAAAACTAAAAGAATCACCACTACACATGGACCACTATTAGTAGTGACTAGACTAGAAGACATGGAGCACTAAACTTCTGGTGACTAGACATTTTAGTGATGACTGGAGATGCCATGATGATGCCTGGCTGTTGGTTGCGTCAAGATTGGTTTCGTTTGGAACGGCGGGAACGGCATCCTGTTTTGGATACGCCACGACTTCTGTCCGAGTCACTACTTGATGCAGAAAATTGATGCAGCAAATTGGTGTGTATTTGACAAAAACTAGCATTTTTTTCTCCAAATCTTCGAAGAACACCCCTTTTCCATTTGCACAACAAGCGCATCCCTTAAGGCGCTCCGTAAAGATCCACTTGATGTGCCATTCCTCGGTGCTGGAAGGTAGGTTTGATACCCCCTTTTCATGGTGATGAAATAGCCATCAAATGACAGAGGGCGTTGGTTACGAAAAATAGAGGGGTGAAACCTCCCTTTTGTTGCAACATGATGCAAAACATGACTTGAATTTTCTATGCGAAGGTGACCCCTCTATTTTGCCTCAAAAGGATAGGTATTCCCGTATTCCCCCATGTTTGCTGGTACAATCATGTGAAATCCAACTTTGTTTTAAACCCCCACCCTGGGGCCACCTTACAGCCGCCCCGCCGTGAAACCGTGGCCATCCCGGGCAGATGATGAGAAACAGCGGCAGCGGCACCGAAACATCATCGCGTCGCCCAGCATTTGGCGACAGCCGCGGCAGCCTTTGCCGCACCAAGTGCCACAGCAGCAGGGCCAGCTGCATAGCACTGTGGAGGCGATCGGAGTCCGCAGAAAATCCCGTTTCAAGTGAAAACAACATGGTATCAACAAATTTGTTGAAGGGAAAATCTATGAAAATCTACAGGAAACTATGGAATTGCCCATGAATATATGGAGGTTTTCTGTACGAGTTCCCTTCAGCCGATTTATTGAAAGTTTTTTTCCCGAGAGCGTCTGAGCGCAGGGTTCTTCCAATAGTGGGGGTCTGCAAAACATCTTCTCATCTTCACATCTCATCTTCACATCCTCTCATCTTCACATCTGCTCATCTTCACATCCTCTCATCTTCACATCCTCTCATCTTCACATCTGCTCATCTTCACACCTTCTCCATGTTTGCCACATCTGCTCATCTTCACACCTTCTCATCTTCACATCTGCTCATCTTCACATCTGCTCATCTTCACATCTGCTCATCTTCACATCTTCTCATTCTCATCTTCACACCTTCTCATCTTCACATCTGCTCATCTTCACATTCTGCTCATCTTCACATCTGCTCATCTTCACATCTTCTCATCTTCACATCTGCTCATCTTCACATCTGCTCATCTTCACATCTGCTCATCTTCACATCTGCTCATCTTCACATCTTCTTATCTTCACATCTTCTCATCTTCACATCTGCTCATCTTCACATCTGCTCATCTTCACATCTGCTCATCTTCACATCTGCTCATCTTCCCATCTGCTCATCTTCACATCTGCTCATCTTCACATCTGCTCATCTTCACATCTGCTCATCTTCACA